TTTGTTCATACCTGTTAGCACTGCTGTACTTAATTTTTTATGTTTAGAAGATATAAAGAAAATTATCTTTGTTTCTCAGTTTGAAAATAATTCCTTAATATATGGTATTATGGTAAATAGACATACTAATCCATTACAAACACAATCATTTTTACATTATTATTCATTGACAATTTAGTGTCTAAGAAGATTGCTGTTGTATCACTAAATGAAAGATGATGTGACTTGCATCACAAGTTTAAATGTGTACCTCTAAATAGATGCAAAAGTTTTCAAGGATGTGTTCCCACATGTTAACTGTAGTTATCTCTAGGAAGAATTTAAATATTTTAAGATTTTAATATGATGGTATGTTAATTTATATTTAACATGGTTAGTCAAATACAAAAAAATAGATTAATGTAAACTAAAAACAAAAATTTGCTTTTTACTGTTTTTCTGAGGTTAGGTGACTACCACTGAGAGGGAACTGCACAGAGATCTGCGGTGAGAGGTCACCTTCACCTCTCAACATGCTCACCACCTTCTAAAGCTAGATTACTTTTTAAATTTATTTAATTTATTTTATATTCTATCCTCTGTTCCTCCTCCCTCCTGTCCTCCCATTCCCTCTCTCCTTCCCTATGCTCATATTCTCCAACTAGCACTTGATAGGATTTCTGAGGGAGTTTTAATTTTGAATGATCATCGTTCTAACCGGGGTGAAGAATCTAAAGGTAGTTTTAAATATCATTCAAACTAGAGGATAAAAATACCAAGTATATTTTAAAATGTTTATTGGTCATTTGTACTTCTTCTTTTGAGAACAGTCCCATCATTTCATTAGACCAGTCATTGACTGGGTTTTATATTTTAGATGTCAGTCCTTTGTCAGATATATATCTGACAAAGATTCTTCCCATTCTGTAGGGTGCTTTTAAACTCAAATATTTTTTTCTTTAGCTGTGCAAAACCTTTGCCATTCTATGTATTTCATTTGATATTCTAGTAACAATTTCCTGAGCTACTGCAGTGTGTCTAGAAAAAACTTGTAGTATTTCCCTCAATACATTTCTGGTACTAAATTAAGGTCTTTGGTCCATTTTCATTTTTTTTTGTTTGCTTTGTTTATTTGTACACAAAAAGCTGGGTCTTCACCCCATAAACCTTACCTGTGGATTTATAGGTGGCTGATGGCTTCTGGAGGGGTCAGGTTTATTTAAGGGTGTGGCCCTTTTAGGGTGATCATGCTCCAGTGGATGACTCCACATCCATTAGTATATAGACAGCACAAATTAGACTAAATAGGTCATTGTAAAATACAAGAAAAGGTACAGAATAAGAGTAAGTAGAGAAGTGTTTGTGAATTTTGGAGAACTTATGGAAGAAGTAGAAGGTAACGAAACAAAGTCCATTACACAAACTTCTCAAAAATCAATTAAAACATTATTTTAGTTTAGAAAGGGAGTTGTCTAGCTTCATTCTTCTGGATGTGGATACTCAGTTTTATTTTTTTTTTTGTTGTTGTTTTAAAAGAAACATTTGCTTAACAAGCTGTCTTTTTGCAAATGTATGCTTCTGCCATGTTTGTCCAAGATGAGTTGACTGTAGCTGAATGAGTTTGCTCCTGGCTCCTCTATATTTCTCTCATGGTCTATCATTTCCCATCAGAGTCATGATGTTTTTGGTACAATGAGTTTCCAATAAAACATGACATCATTGAACGTTTAATTGATTATGATTGTTTTGACTTCCTGGGTATTTTGAGCTTTTGTATGGATAGTAAGTATTTTTTTTTCCTCTGGGAAGACTATCATTTGAAGTTTTATAGGAATTTCTCAAACCATTAGAGTTTTTCTGGTTTGATAGCATTATCACAATATTCATTCTGCCAATTCATGGGAAAATATGGGAGGTTTTTCCATTTTCTAGAGAGGAGAACCTTCATCAATTTCATTCTTCAGTATTTTAAAATTTCCATTACACAGGCATTTCATGCCCTTGGCTAGGTTTATTTCTAAAAACTCTTCTCCAACTTTTGCTGGTCCATTTCCCAAAGACCCTAGTAGACATCTCTCTATGCAATCTGCCATCCTCTAAAGGAGAAGACTACCATTTGACAGTAAATTAACTTCAATATATATTTTTGCCATAAATTGATATTTAATAGGCTATTTAAGGATATTATAAAGGTATTGAAATATTGGTATCAGGATTCATATTAGAGCAAGAATAAGGCTTGTTGGCATTTTTATCTATACTTTTAATGATTTTCTATAATATTTACTATACTTTTGATATTTTATAAATATTATATGAAAACCAAACAATGTGAGTGCTTTTAAGATTCACAGACATTTTTCCTGGTAATTTTCAATCAGACTTCTGCTCGGTTGTTTTTTGGAATAAAAGTAATGACTAAAACACAGTTGGTTCTTTAAGGCTGATCTTTATCACTGGCTTAAATGTCATCTAAAACAAAAGCTGCACATATTTGTGTGGGTATTCACTGGGGAAATGTGGAGCAGCTGACACAAGTCAGTGTACGGGACATATAGCAATACATGTATGTCAGGCACATAGTCATATTTTCATGGGTAGTCTATAAATTCAGTGTGAAATAAAACTGCTTGGCTTGATAATCACTGATTTATCACTAGTTCAGTTTGCAATGGATCTTAATAGATTTGTAGAAGGTCACAACTGAAGAGTTTCAATAAAATCTTAGCAAATTAATCTTTTTAACTAGGTGAATATTTTAAAATAGGAATATTGCCATGGCAGAGGAGAAAACAGTAACGTCTAAATCTTATTGTACTCTTATTTTTTTTTATACTTTCTGATAAGTGAGATTCATATTTTGTGTTCCGGATGCTCAGTATCTTAGAGAGTCTTTGGAGACTCTGTGTTTCACTCTTGCAAATTAGTTGAAATTTAGATCCAATTAGTTCAAATTTTATAGAGTTATGGGACAGAGCAGCCTACCTGCTGATAGAAAACTTCCCAGAAAATAAACCTTTTCAAGTTTCCCCTGTCCAGAGTCATGCCCTGAGGAGACATAAGAATAGTTATTTTTAACATCATTTTCAATTCATTTTAAAATCTCTGCAGCTCTTACCTCTTTTTAGACTTTATTATTATTATTATTATTATTTACCAATCACCACTTAGTGGACACAGTGATAGCTGTGCAAGGTTTAGTAAAGCTCCTTTCCATGAGCTTCTTAAAATGATAAGATGGACACATGCCAAATGGTGATGTGAAATCAATAGAATAAGTGATGGCAAAGATCTCCAGGTGTCATAAAATAGAAGGCGAGGTGTCAAGGCACTGCAGAAAAGCAGGGGGTGGCTTTAGAGGGAGATGTAGGATATTTGGAGGCCAAGAGGATGAAGATAAAGATACAGTAGCAGAGCATGTCCTGTAGGTCACCCCTGGAGTGAAGACCTAAAATGTGGAATGACTTGGAGTTTTAGGAAAGTACACAGAGAGAAATTTCTGCTGTCTACATCTGGATAGTATGTGCTTTTTGAATATATTTTGTTACAAAGGAAAACTCATTGCAACGCAACTAGGATCTTAATAGATGTGATACATTTAGCGTTTTCTTTTTCGCCACAGCATACATAATGTAACACAGCATTCTGTTTGAGGGTATCATAGTGGAAAAGCTATGAATCGTTAGACTTGCACACATCCCTTCTCTGCCTCCCACTGACTATGTGACCAAAGACTGTAATTTAAACTTTCCGAGCGTGTGTTGCTTTATCCCTAAGACAGAAAAATAAAAAAAAGGCTGGTTACATTTGAGATTTTCAATAACAAAATAACAAGATAAAGATAGTTAGAATATTATGGGTCTCAAATATTGCCTTCAGTAGATGGCTGCCACTGTTAGGATGGTTTATATCAGATGAAACAAGGCAAGCTTCCAAAGGAGGGAAGCAGCCAACAGTTCTTCCAAGCCATGGTGTCCACAAATGACAGTAACTACCAACAAGGCACAATAACACTGAGGGTACCGCAGTGGCTCCCATATAGTGGCAGTAGCAACACTCTAGTTGGACATAAGAGCTTCCAGTCAAAGGGAAATCATGCCTGGTATTGGAATCCTACCCAACCACTCCGAGTTAGTGAAAGTACGGATCTTGGAGGAGAACCTACAATTGCCATGTTACTAAGCCAACATTTTACCTAATTACACTTTTAATTTTTGTTTACTACTCACTACCCACAGGTCAGAGAAGTCTTCACAATGCATTAAGGAAACTTCTCTTTGCAATAGACAGAAAACCACAATCAATCAAAATGTAGAAGCCTGAAGTTTAGTCCCAATAAATACACCTATAAAAATAGCTTCAATACTTGAGGAAAAGAAGCCATAAAAAATAAAAGAGCCATAGGTTCCAGGAGTTTGCTGTGGGATTGTTTCTCCTAGTAATTTTAAATGCTGCAGTCTTAATGTTTTGCAAACACGAATGCAAAAAAAAAAGAGCTTGAACAAAGAAAATAACAATAAACATATAAAAATGCATGGGCAGCGGGGGGGACAGCCCATAAGGCCTGAATAATGCACAAAAAAATACAAGGGGTCAAGAAAGAAATCAACTTCCTTAGGGAAGAGTACACCAATTATTTATCTAATACCAAACTGTCAGCCCTGAAAACATATAACCAAGTAACATTGTACATACTGAGCATGGTATATTTAGGAAAATAAATGTATGTACAAGTATATATACTTGTATTCATGTGACAATATTAAATGAAAAATAGTATGTATTTGAATGAGAACAAAGGGGTGTATGGGAAAGTTTGAAAGGAGAAATGCAAAGAGTTAAATTATATAATTCTATATGATCTCAAATAAATAAAAAACAAAATGGTATTTTTTTATTTTAAGTAAAAATTAAATTTTATTAAATTTACTGAGTCGTACAACTCTGTATACTTGATTTTTTGTTTGTAAAATACTAAGGCTCCTATATTCATGTTGACAACACTCTTCCTTTCTTAATAGGCAAAATCTCAAATCTTATCCAACGTGTTAGATGTTGCTCATCAATTTATAAAGGAAGCAAATCCACCTAATGAAGGGAATACGTCTCCAGAAGCGTCCAGTAAAAGTCAAGAGAAAACTAAAGCCCCACTTCTTCAGGACAACAGCACTGAGGTAAACTGAGGGCAAAGCAGGCTATTTCCTGATCAACATCCATTCATGTCCATTACCAGAAATACACATTTGGGGATGATACTTTACAATATTGTGAGTTACTATGTACTCGTGTTAGTAACTGGATATACTCGACTATAAAAATAATTTTAAGATCACCTTGACGCCATTGAAAATTGTTTTTTAAAATAAAAATTTACTGAAAATGTGAAATTCTGGGCATTTTGGCCTTGTCAGGAATTACATGAATGTTGGAGACAAACATTAAAATAAAATGAAGGATATAACAATTTTTTCTTAGTTAGAATTTTCACATGCTCAAAATACAAAGGCTTAGGCGATAGGCAATTTCATCAGTGTATAAAGGCAGATGAGTGCCAAAAATCTGGCAGTTTGTCAGATTAACTATTGATCACAAAATGTGCTACATATATTTTAATCTTCACATGTATAATACATGTATATATATGTATAGATATGTGACATAGAGTCATAACAATATTTTTAAAAATGGATTGTATTTATGGAGGAAAAGTTAAATAAAACTTCCCAAAAGTAGGAAGTTTCCAGGGAAAGAATCCTTTTCAATTACGTCTTTAGCAAGAAACACACTCTACATTCTGACTGACATTTTAATCCCCCTTCCCTTACATGGTATTCTGTTTGGGGAGGCTGCCATCTTCCCAGACTCGAAAGAGTCACATTTAAACTATATTAATTGCAATACCGTTTGGCCAATAGTGAATATATATATATATATATATATATATATATATATATATATATATCTTTCATCTTAAATTAACCCATTTCTATTATTTTTATATTTTACCAAGAGGCTCATGGCTTACTGGCAAGGTTCTGGCTGGCAGCTCCTGTCTTTCTCCTCTGGGGGCTACATGGCTTCTCATTGACTCTGCCTTCTTTCTCCCGGCATTTACTTTAGTTTGCCCACCTATCGTTAATCTGCCCTATCACAGGCCAAATAGCTTCTTCAACCAATAAAAGCAGCACATATACACAAGGACTTCCCATGTCAGTATCCATTGTTTTCCAGTAGCTCACAGACTATGGTTTACTTAGTCACAAAGCATTGTTACTTTACTAAGTTTAGGTTGAAATGAAGTCTCTTGAGTTTCAAGTTCATGTACATAAGTGTTCTATTTCAGCATGATATCTTTCCTGCAAAGGAGCTATGTGTGAACTTCTCTAGGATGTGGGCATATTTCCATGTATTTCTTTTCCCCATAGACCTGCCAAAGATGTATGTGAACCAACACTGGATGAGTTACAGCCTCATAATGGTGATATGATCCATAGGAATAAAGCATTCTATTTTATCTAGATAATAGACTTTTGTCTTTTCTTTTCATATCGTATATTCTGATCATAGTATCCCACTGTAATCACCTCTCAGCTCCTCGACACCTCCTACCACATGCAATTTCATGTCTTGTTCTCCCTCTTCTTAGAAAATATACAGGTTAATAAAACAAGTAAACCAGAAGAAAACAGTAAACATACAAAAAAAAGAGAGAAAATGTTAAAAATTAGGAGACAGGGACTGGAGAGGTGGCTCAGCAGTTAAGAGCATTGCTTGCTCTTCCAAAGGTCCTGAGTTCAATTCCCGGCAACCACGTGGTGGCTCACAACCATCTGTAATGAGATCTGGTGCCCTCTTCTGGCCTGCAGACATACACACAGACAGAATATTCTATACATAATAAATAAATAAATATTAAAAAAGAATTAGGAGACAAAACAATGCACATTTGGAAATGAAAATCTAATAGAAATGATTATCTAATAGAAATTTGTGTAGAGCTACTAATCAGCTTGACAATAACCTGAATTGATCTGAAGTTTTCTATGAGCCTCTTGGGCAAACATCTCAATTAGATGTAACCAATTCCTACTCCTGGAGGTTTCATTTAGTGTCAAGAGAGATCCAGTAGAGTTTTGCTCTTGGAAGCACTTTGCCAGTATTCTATTAAAGATTTTTGCATTGATGATCAAGAGAGAGTCTGGTCTGTGTTTCTGTTTCTTTGTTGCATTTTTGTGTGGTTTGGTATTAGGGTAACCGTAGCCTCATAAAGGGAGTTTGGCAATGTTTGTACCTTTTCTATTGTGTGGAAAAAATTTGACGAGTATTGGAATTTGCTCTTCTTTGAAATTCTTATAACATTCTGTGCTGAAGTCATCTAGACATGGGCATTTTTTGGTGGGGAGACTTTTAATGACTGCTTTATTTCATTAGGGGTTATAGGTCTATTTAAATTGTTTATCTGGTCTTGATTTAATTGTGGTATATGGAAGCTATCAAGAAAGTTGTCCATTTCTTTTAAGTTTTCCAATTTTGTAGACTACAGGTTCTTGAGGTACAATCTGATGATTCCCTGGATTTCCCTCAGTGTCCGTTGTTATGTCTCCCTTTTATTTCTAAAAAAAAAAAAAAAAAAAAAAAACTTCCAAGATTTTAAGTGGAGAACTCTCTATGTAGGTGATATTTGAGAAATTGAATAGCATGAGGAAAATCGCTGTGTAAAGAAGGCTCTGAAGAGGAAATTGACCTGATGGTTCACACTTCTCCAAGATTGTAAGAATAGCTGGAATAGGTTGAGTGATTGGGGAAAGAGGAAATGACGGTATAGGTCAAGGAGAGAGAAAGTACTTTAGGCACTTTGTATTCCCTGAGAGAAACTTTGCATTATAGAGAATTAAAAGGTTTTGAGCACACTGACAGCAAATAATAAAATCACACACACACACACAAGTCTATACTCACATTAACTAATATAATTGCATGCCTATAATCCCATAACTCAGGAGACAAAAGTCAGATATCTCAAATCTGAGAACAGTCGTGGCTACATAGAGAATTAGATCCTATCTTCTAAACACAAAACTGCTCTAACGTGAGAATGTAAGGGGCATAAGGTTGGGGGAGGAAGAAGGATGGATAATGTGTACCTAGCAGGAACAGCTGTAGAGGAGAAAGAACAGACATAAAAATCATCAGTTTATAGTTTCTTACGTTATCATCTTCTGAGACGACCATTCGTAACTACCAATAGAGTTTTAAAGAAAACAATAAAGTATTTAGATGAATGTTATATAAAAACATATTCTTCTGGATTCAATATTTCTGCTTTCAAGTCTTATAAAATGCAGGATGTTTAATAAATACTCTTTGCTACATTTTTAACTTTCTAGGTAGAAACTACAGCAGCAGAAGGAGGAGAAAGTACAAATTCAAGGTACAAGCCCTTGTGTGAAGTGCCTTTTGATGAAGAAGCGTCTGCCCAGTCCTTTCGGGAAGCCTTAACTCAGTGGAGAGCTGGACATCAGGAGGAAAACAAACAGCAGAACGAACATGCAGCAAAACCAGGTATGGGCACTGTTCAAATATTCGTATAACAAAATAAAGGGATCTTCATGTCTTTCCACTCCTGGCAAAACACAAATTCTCAAAAACAATAAAGAACAATTTGCTACAGCTTCTCAAGGGAGTTTTGTGCACACACTAGGCGGTCAATGGTGAGTTGTTTCATATTTATGAGGCAGGCAATGATCGTGGAGCTTGTTTGCCTTGGTTTTCTATGTAAATCCAGATCATCGGATGAACAGAGCATTGAAGCATCGGCTTTTTTTTTTTTTTCTTCTCCAAGGGAGCAGTCATTTGAAAACGATTCCATTTTAGGTCTGCTGTTATAATGGGCAGGAAAGCAAACAACCCTGTAGATGCAGTAGGTCTATAATATTTCTTTTCAGTATGACCAAATCTCTGGCAGAGCAACGTAAAGGATGAACAATTTATTTAGCTCACAGTTGGAGATGAGACAGCCCATCAAAATAAGGGAATAAGCAGGTGACTTCAAGGCCACAAGAGCAGATGACTGGACTCCTTGTTTCTTCCACCACAGTAGAGCAGGCAGCAGAGACAAGGCAGGAAGGAGAATGCTGCTACATGCCTCATAGCATGCCTCCGGGGGCTTTACTTCTTCCAGTGAAGGCTCAAACTCCATAAACTGCACAGCCTCCAAAACAGAACCATGAACTGAGCGGATGGGAGAACAAATGTTTACATGGAAACTGTAAACCATAACTTGCAGGTTGAATATATAACCACAGTAAACCTCACAGATTTTTGTTTGTAACATTTTTTTTCTTTCCTTAAAAAAAAATTTCTTTCTTGGAGCTGGTGGCTCACACCTTTAATGCCAGCACTCAGGAGGCAGAGGCAGGCAGATCTCTGTGAGTTCGAGGCCAGCCTGGTCTACAAGAGCTAGTTCCAGGGCAGGCACCAAAGATACAGAGAAGCCTTGTCTCGAAAAGAACAAAACAATCTTTGCAATATTTTAGTTTCAATTTTTGGTTTACATATAAAATAATAGGTTTCTTTATGGCATATTCACATGTACTATACTGACTAATTTTTGTGTCAATTTGACATAAACTGGAATCATTTGAGAGGATCAAATCTCAGTTGAGCAAATACCTCCATTACATTGGTCTGTAAGGCAAGTCTATATGACATTTTCTAAATTAGTTCTTAATGTAGGAATGCCTTGCCCATTGGGACTGGGGCCTTCTCTAAGGTGGTTCTATAAGACAGAAGGCTGAACAAACCAGAAGAAGCAAACCGCTAAGTAACATTTATCCATGGCTGCTTCTGTCTTCTGGTTCCTGTCCTGTTTAAGTTCTTGACCTGACTTCCTTCAGTGGTGAACAGTAGATTGTACATGCAATAAAACCTTTCCTCTGCAACTTTCTTTTGGTTCCTCACAGCAACAGTAACCCTAAGACAGCCTCTATATCAGTAGAATGTAACCAGGAAATGCAATGAAGAAAAGACAATACGCAGAACCCCAGAAACACACTTAAATTCCAACTTTTTGAGTTTATAATAATTTATTGCACATGAAGTAAAAGATAGAGCCTGGCTTTGAATCTTTTTCATATTGGGTGCATTGGAAATATTTTCTTAGACATAAATATTGAAAGAATCTTGCATTGCAAATCTTAGGGGTATTGTAAAAGTTGATACACTAGTACAGAAGCTCTTAACCTGCTACAGAACGTAGACATTTGCTGCAAGCTAGGTCAGCTAATCAATGTTCTGAATGGAGTAGGAAAAAGGTCATAGACAGCGCATGAATGAATGAGCGGACTGTGTTGCAATAAAGCCTCATATTTATGAATACATAAATCAGTCATAGGAAAATGATAGGTCAGATTTGGACAACAAGCTCTAGTGTGGTGATCCTTGACTCAGTAAACACATTTTTTTCTATTTCTGTCACTAGTTATATTCAGAAATAATGGTACAATTCATATGGCAGGGTAAGGATGTTACTTCACTCTCTAATACGAGACTTACATTATCTCTCTTAGGCTTTGTAGCATTTTGTAGTCTGCAGCACCTTTGTTTACTTGAATCTACCCAGAGACATTGGTGGGCCATTAGGTGGATGTCACAAGGCCACTTAGGTGAACAGGGAACAATGGCCTATCACTAAGATTGGTTATACTTTTCTCATGAAAGCTGCAGTGATCTATCTTCATGGGTAAATACATGTCAGGTACAGATTTGTTTACCTTGCTTGCAGTAAGCTAGGTAAGCCTTATGTATCCCCATGGTCCCCTCAGGAAACTGCCTTATATCAAGGCTGTCATTTTACTATGCGAAAAGTACAGCAACATCCATGATATTCAGTGTTCTTACCATGTGTCACATTTCATGCACAAAAATATGTACGGTTGCCATTTCACCTATTATCAATATTTTCTCTTATGTGCCACCGTTTCTCAGTCTAAATGTTGATTATTGTTTAGAATATTTCTCATTTTGATCATATAGAACAATACTACCATACATTTTCTTGTACAGATCTTGAAATATAACCCGGATATATTTCCAGGGATGTCAGTACTTGAGATGAGAACAGCTGTGTTACCAGACATGTTTGTCCTCCACTAAACTAGATAAACATGAACTACTCAGTAATGTCCTTTCATAAATTGCCACTCCATCTGAAGAGTGTAAGAGTATTTTGTTGTTCTCTTTATCATGAACACTTAATATCTTCCGACACTTAGAATTTGGTTTGTATAATGGGGATAAATACAATGCTTAAATTGTATAGCTGTTATTGCAAATCACTTTAAGAATCCTTGAATTTAATACCACTCAGCGTATCAGCATGCTTTAAACATCTAGGTTGTCAAGTTATTTCAGTCACTGATTTTTACCTTAATTTTAGTCATCCACAGACTCCTTTCGGTGCTTTCTCTGGCCTGGGCTTTTCTGTGAGCTAAGGCTGTTTTTTTCTCTGACCTTTCTTGCTGAAATGTTCCCTCATTGGCTTATTTGGACTCCTCTCCTCTGGATCTTTGTGCTGTGTATTAAGGAAACTGCCCCCATCACAATGAGATGAGTGTTAGACCAGTTCCTAGAAAAAAAGGCCACTGAGCCCACAACAAGGCAAGGAAGCCCTAGCAACAGCTCATGAGCCTTTCTCTGAGGAAGACACACATCATGAATCTGTATGTCCTTGAATTGACTAGCATGCATGATTTCAACAAAAGTATCTTGCTGAATGTATACTTAGCTAAAGAGTGTTCTCCTAGCGATTTGTGATTGTCATTAACCACAGATATCAAAACACTGATGAGCACACGAAGCCGGGCCAGGCCTCATCTTCATTTGCTGAGACTGTCACTGGTGAATGGAGAAAAGGGAAGCACAGGCTGTTTGCTTTCACCCCTACTTCCCTCTACTGTTTCCAGATTTGGGAGTCATTTCTCAAGCACAGTTGTTCTTTTCTCTGAAAAATGCTCTTCCTTCTACCCACCTTCAACTTTTCTATCTCAGTTCTTTTAACTTCAGTAAGGTGTGTGCACACATATGCACACACACACAAACACACACACCTGCCCCTCCTGCTATAATGTTCATATCCACAATTCACATTCTTAATTTTTTTTCTTCTTCCATTTACTAGATTCTAGTTGTTGCTCTTAAGATTTCTTCTCTCTCTTTTCATCAAAGTTGACTAAGTCCATTATTTTGCCTATTTAACTGCTTTCACTTGGCTGCTCCTCATTGCTAGCCGCTAAAGTCTTCACTGTGAGGTTGGGACCAGCTTAGCATTAGAATCCCTACAAATTTTGTTTTGAAACCTCACCACTCCCTTTTCCTGTTTTCTTCCAGCATTTCATTCTGGGGGATGCCGCAAGCTCGAGAATGGGGAGGGATCTGGAGGTCAGAAAAGCGACCAGTCCTGGATTTATCAGCTTCCTTTTCTCAGATGCTTCATTGCTTTCAAGTAGCTCTGAGTAGTTCTATAGTCAGTGTCACTGCAGAAACAATAGCATTTGCATGTCTAGGACTTCAAAGGCAAACGTTTGTGGGAACCGATGTTCTCTTCATTCTAAATAAGATATAATTCATCAAAAAAAAAGATATAATTCATCACAAATTATTTATTTTTTATTAGCCATGATATTTAAACATTAATAGAATTGGCTATAATACATACTTTTGTTTGTACACGTGTCTCTGTGTGAGGATTCTACAGTGATGGTATTTACCTTGTTTCTTTTAAGAGCATGTTGTTTTTGTAAAGCTTTTGACATTTTCTTATTTTTTAGTATTTTTTTTGATGAGATTTTGAAGATACTGTCCACAGAATCATGTATTAAAACCAATATTTTAGAAATCCTTTAACATTATATACATCTTGGACTTGATATTATATCAACATCGTATGTCATAATATAATAACAAATATCCTTACAGAGATAGGTACTAAAGAACTGATCTCCACAAACAATTGACTATCTAAAGAAAGAATATACTAATTCACAGGCATGGGTACATTAATTATGTGCAGTGTGTATTTTTATAGACTCAGTGGAAGAATGTGAAGTACAAACTAATTTGAAAATTTGGACAGAACCAATTAATATCGAATTTACAGAAGACAGTCTGACATATGTGGAAAAATTATGGCTTAAAAAACACAGAAGGTATGTAGTATAATTTTTCTGCTTGTTAGGAAATAGGAGTTATTTATGTTTCTTATTTGTGGGACATGGCTTTATGAAGCAATTTTTTATGTATATTACTTATATTTATTTTCAATTTTAAAGCAATTTTAAATTCCTGTGAAGCTTTGACTATTAGCAACAATTTTAATTAATCTATATAAAAACACATATATGGTATACTCTATCCTTGAGAAATATAAAAAGATATGTAGCTGCAGAAAGGGATTTAAAATCAAGGTTGCAACATGAAACCGACATGATAGATGAGTAGATGTTATCATCCTTGGTAATTTTAACAAAGTTTCTGACTTGGCTCGTCATAAGTTCAATTTATTACACAGCAGAGATGCCTACACTCAGTTCCTTCCAGCTTTCTAGAGGATGGGGAAAGCACATTCTTTGGTAGGTCTGATGCTAAGTTCCGAGTTGTCGCGGTTCCGATGCCTCATGAGTGACTTGGGGCTAGGATGATGGTCTCTGGTCACATTTTGAAGGACCAAATGCAGGGAAACTCTCTAGAGTGAGGCTGGAAAGTGATTGCAAGGCCTGTGCATCATCATAGGAAAAACAATCTCGTTTTTGTGGTAGCCGATGTCATGTCTGGCACATTCTCAAACATATTTCCTGTGAGTGTTATTTCGTCTTCAAGTTTTTTCTAAGCCTAGTCCTAATCTAGTTCCACTGATGATTTCCCAGTTCTTTTGCATTTAAAAATTTGAGTTCTTCAAGGCAGGGTATTATTTTCCTTCTCTTCCCTTTAATTAGTGCTGACCTCCTGACTGTGTGTGTTGTGTGGGGGCATCTGTTGGAGCATTGTCAGACTTCCAGGGACCACACCCCTAAAGAGAAGTGACCCAGCCTCCCCTAGCAGCTATCAACTATCAATCGATCCTCAACTAGGGTGGGGCTCCTGAACTCCTTTCCCATACCATCTCCTTCCCTAACAGTTACTGTGTGTTAATGTATGCAATAACTCTGTCATCCTCAGAATACATCCTTTCTTCCCACTCTTCCCTAAATTCTGTTTCCTCTTCTATGCTTTTCTCGTATCCCTGGGAAGAGGGGGCATGTGGTAGATCTCCCGCTTATGGCTGAGCACACCACAGACAATAAGCTCTTCATTTCAGTCACTGACAAGTCTTTTTAAGCTGTTGCTCCACTTTACAAAAAAGGTTTTCTGATGAGGATTGAGGGCTGCATTAATCTATGGATAGAGAGATCTGTGTTCAGAAAGCAGATAAATACTATGTCTTTTGGCAAAATAATAGCAGTGGGCACACTCTCCTAGGTCTGGGAACTCTCAGCAACAAGTTCTTAGACAGATTTACTTTATATTTACATGGATTTCTATCAGGAATACTGAGTATGAGGGATAGATAAATAAGTCTGTGAAGTGCCTGTGATATAAACACAAGAACCTAACTTAATCCGAGAATCCATATAAAAATGCTGTGCATAATAGAAATGTTAACAGTCCCAGTGCCATGGAGGCAGAGACAAGCAGATATTTGGGATACATTGGCCACACAGGCAAAATCATGATCAGTGAGAGACTATGTACAATAAAATGGAGAGTAGTTGAATGTATGAATATCCAGCCTTCTCACACTGCCACACACATGAGCATACAGATTAATATACTTGTTTATACAAAAAACAAACGCACAGAAACACACACAAACATACAGTCATGATCAAAACTATTTCAATAAAAATTTACTGAATTTTAAAGAGCAGATGAAGAGGTGACTACTATTAAAAAGTTATTTTTGCCTTTATTTATGTGGCATGGTTCTGTGGGAGGCACCAGAGTTGGAATAACAGAAATATAGATTTTGTTTGTATTAGCTAGTTGCTTACTCATAGGCAAAGCACTTAAATATTATTGGTATAAGTTTTCTCTAATTTAATATACTGAATTTAGAATAATTAATTTGTAGTACCCCTGTTATTAGCCCTGCTATCAGGATTCTTAAGTCTTTACTTACAAAATCACCCATCTATCAGTAAGCAAAATATTGTTAGGCATCATTACATTGACATTTTTTCCCAATCATGTTTGGTTCTATCCTAAGTGTCTGGGCCATCCAACCTGTGGTCCTGGCACTGCAGGCGGTGTCGGAGGTAGACTGACTCTCATGGCCATGGACCTAAGGCTGTACTAGTCATTGTGTGCCACTCCTACAATCTCTGCTCCACCCTTACCTTAGCACTACCCATAGGCAGGACAGACAATAGGTTGAAGATTATGTGGCTGGCATCCTAATCCCTCCACTGTAAGCCTTGACTGGTACAGGAAAAAGCTAGTTCAGGTTATGTATTGATATTTCTAGGAGTGTTAGCTGGGATCATCTTTGTAGATTCCTGGGAGTTTTCCTTGCACTAGGATTCTACCTGACTGTGAAATACCCCCTTCCTCTTTCCAGAAATTGCTTTCAGTACTCTCTCCCTGTCCACCTGCAACCTGTTCTCTCATGTTCCTATTCCCACCCATCCCATCTCCCAAACTCCACCCATGAAGCCTCCTCTATTTTCCCTTCCCAGGGAGATATGAGTGCCTGCCCTTGAACCCACCTTGTTACCTAGCTCCTTTGGAGCTGTGGACTGTAGTATATAGACCATATATCTACTTATGAGTGAGTACAAAACACATTTATCTTATGGTTCTGGGTTACCTCACTCAGGATGACTTTTTTTTCTAGTTCTAGTTCCATTTATTTGCCTTTAAATTTCATGGTGTCATTGTTTTTAACAGCTAAGCAATACTCCGAGTGTAAATGAACCACATTTTATTTATCCATTCTTCAGTTGAGGGGCATCTAGGTTGTTGTAAGATCATGAATATTACAAATAAAGATGCTATGAACACAGCTGAGCAAGTTTCCTTCTGGTATGATTGAGCATCCTTTGAGTATATGCCCAAGAATGATATAACAGAGCCTTGAGGAATTTATTCAGGACTTTCTGAAAAATCACCATATTGTTCTCGAAAGTGGCTGTATGTATTTGCACTCCTACCAACAATGGAAAAGTGTTGCTCTTAATCCACATTCTGTTTGGATATTAATGCTTTTAATTTTAGCCATTCTGACAGGTGTAAAATGGAATCTCAGAGTTGTTTTGATTTGCATTTGTTGGAGGAAGGCCACTTGTTTGTCCCTGGCCTCTTAGCTCTGAAACAATCACACAGAAACTCTAGTAATTAAATCACTGCTTGACCCATTAGCTCTAGCTTCTTATTGGCTAACTCTTACATATTAATTTAACCCATTTCTAGTAATCTGTGTATTGCCACATGGCTGTGGCTTACCAGCTAAACTTCTTGCATCTTTCTCTTGCAGAGCTACATGGCTTCTCTCTAAATCTACCTTCCTCCTCGCATGCTATAGGCCAAGCCAGTTTCTTTATTCATTAACCAATAAAAGTAACACATAGACAGAAATACCTCCCACACCATGCATTTTGATAACTGCCAGAATTTTGAAAATTTCTTTAAGGATTATTCAATAATTTGAGATTTTTTTATTTTGGATTCTCTGTTTAAATCTGTATCACATGTTTTGATTATTTTGTTTTTTGATATCTGCTTTCTTATATTCTTTATATATTTTGGAGATCAGCCCTGTGGGGCTGGAAAAGCTCTTTTCTCATTCTGTAGGTGACTTTTTTTTTATCCTATTTACAAAGTCCTTTGCCTTATTGAAGTTTTTGAGGTTCTTGAGGTTCCATTTATTAATCGTTGATCCTAGTGCATGTGCTACTAGGGTTCTATTCATTAAGTTCTCTCCTGTGTCAATGCATTCAAGTATATTTCCCACTTTCTCTTCTAGCAGGTTCAGTGTAACTAGATTTATGTTGAGGTCTTTGATCTACTTGGGCTTGGAGATTTATAACATGATAGATATGGCTGTATTTGCCTTCAACATGCTGATGACCAGTTATGTTAGCACCATTTGTTGAAGATGCTTTCTTTTAACCATTTGTATAACTTTGACTTCTTTATCAAAAATCAATTGTATATAGATTTGTGGATTTATGACTGGGTCTTCAATTTGTTTCTATTGCTTTACCAGTCTATTATGCCAATAGTGTGCTGTTTTTATTACTTTAGCTCTGTAGTAGAGCTTGAAATTAGGGTTAGCAATACCTCTGGAAGTTCCTTTATTTACAGAATTGTTTTAGCTATTCTCGGTTTTTTGTTTTTTCATATGAAATTGAACATTGTTCTTTCAATGTCTGTAAAAATTATGTTAGAATTTTGATGGAAATTGTGTTGGAAATATAGAATGCTTTTAGTAAGATGCCCACTTTTCTATGTTATTCCTACTGATCCATGAGCAGGGAAGATCTTTCCATCTTCCGATATCTTTTCTAATTTTTCTTCAAATATTTGAAGTTCTCTTCATGCATCGCTTCACTTTTTTGGATAGAGTTACTCAATATAAATATTATTTGTGGCTAATGTGAAGGGTGGTTTTTTCCTGATTTCTTTTTTAGCCCATTTATCATTTTTACATAAGATGGCTACTGAAATTTTGAATTAATCTTGTATCAAGCCATTTCACTGAAAGTGTTTATCAGTTTTAAGAGTTTCATGTAGAATGTTTGGGGTTGCTTACATATACTCTCATATCACTTGCAAATATAAATGTCTTAGTCAAACTCTGTATGGAAGGAATCTCTCAAAGATTTTTTTAAAAGATAAAGATTAGAAATACAATAGATTTTGTATTTATGTGATCTGCACAATATTTAGAAAAGGCATCTGTTATATTTACAAGTAGGAAACTATGGACTGCAAAATGAGACTATAGCTAGGAATGTGTGCTTGATGAGGCAAGGGCCTCACATTCCTGCTCTTGTTTTCTCTGCCTATGTAATTTAGAACAACTAGGTTCTCCACTTTCCCCCTCAATTTCATCTTTCAAAATGAGGATCAGAGTAGAGATTATTTAATCTAATGTCTAATAACACTGAAAGTACCAAAAGGAGTTAGAACAAAAATGGGCAATTTTTAACTTTCTTTTGGCGTTAACACTATCAATGAGACAGCCTTGTCTTTTAATGGCAAACACGATCTTGCAAGATCGGGGAGGTGGTGCAGCTGTCTTTAATTACCTCACGCATGAACTTTCTCCTCACAACTCCCTGAACATCCTCCAGAATTAATACACACCCTTGAACTCGGAAAAGTTTCAAGCTCTATCTTTTCCATTTGAAGCAGGCTGCATCCATCCTAGATGTTAATTAGGTAATAGATGCCACAGACATTACAGTGCACATTTGGATAACGTGACCCCATTTTACCACTCTTATGGTGTGCTGAAAATTTAGTTAAGAGTCCGCAGGATGCCTTAGAACTCATTACCATAGTGCTGTGTGTGTGATAAAACATACACTTGCTAATTAGCTTTGTCAACAACATGCCATGTATTTTGGACTCCATAAGGCTTTTGAGAGAATACTGACTTGTGTGATGACTTTGGTCTTCATTTTAAACAAAACACAATATGAATATGCAGCTGAAAAACTCCTTGGGTGATGTGGAATTGATTTAAAAACTTTCATTACATTAGAATTTTATTAATCACAATAATCTGAGAATTAATATTATGATGAAAATGCCATCATTAATTTTCAATTCTCATTCATTTGTCCAGTACACATCTTGTCCAGGAAAGTTCTATTGATATTCTTCTCTTTTGATTACATTTTTATTGTTTTGTAGAACTCCACAGGAACAACTTCGGAACATACTATTAAACACGTCTCCACTTCCCTCTGAAGCTACTATGGAGGCACAGAGCTCTCACAATGAAAATGATGTTGATAGCGATGGTCAGTTGATCTTTAACACTTATTGCTTAAAATTATATAAATATGCAATTATTAATGCATGCTTTTAACTTTTGTCCATGTATCATTCTTATCTCGACTTAAACTCCATCTCCTTTTATTTGGTATAGTACCCGACTTTAAACTCAATAGCTTTATGTTTTGCCTGAGCTGAAGGAATTCATAGTGTTTCCATCTTCGTGTTGATTCACAAATTACTGCTCTTTTATTGTAGACAGTAATATTTCTAGAAAACAAATTATCAGACATGTTGTTTGCTAATACTGTTTTCCAATTTTTCTTCCTAGTTGAGGAGATCAAAGTCCAATATCCACCTCTTTTTATGCCAGTAGAAAAATTGAATATAGAGAGACCTCCACCATCTCTAACAATAGTAGAACTGGATGGTGTAAGTAGATAATGTTCGAAGTCTTCAACATGGAAAACATGTAATAGTGATATCTTATTATTATCAGTAAGGTTTTGCTAAAAGTTCATTAGAGTTTAAGAAGAATTTTACATTTGGATTCCAGATGGTTGATAAATATAAAACTATAATTTTTATTATAGAGAATAGATCTGCATGCAAATGTAGCATTTCTACTTTTATGGAGGCATCAATCATGGGATGTGAACTCATGTTTTCTGTGTTCATAGAGTATAATTTTGGTGTCTCTTTATTTCTTTGTTTTTCTGAGGCTTTCACAAAAAGATCAGTTTCATTACATGGAATGTTATTTAAATATAATTAAGTGTAAATGTGGTTTCTATAATATCATTAATATTATTTCCCTTTAAAGGAAAAGACAGTAGTTATAGTTTGAGAGGTTTTAAAATACTGTCAGCACATCTTTGGAAGTTCCAATGGAACCAGAGATAGCCAAGCAGAGCTCAAACCAAATGACTCAGATGTGATCCAGTCCCTGTGTTTTGACTTCCTACTTATCTAATAGCTGAATTACCACTTTCTCCAAATCATTCTGACTTTGGGGTTTGCTGTTTCAGAAAATAAGAATGTAGAGTCTACATCTTGCTCTTCCTATGGCTGCTATATTGATAGCTGCTACAGCTTTTCTTTCTTTTATGAATGTTTCATTTAGTCTCTAAATAAGTGAGAGATATTAGTCAAATACACACATACTTTCACACACACATATATTCACACACATGCATACACACACACACACACACACATATATATATATATACACACACCTTTTATTAAAATTTTGGTTCTTTAAATAAATTGTAGAGAGACAATAAGAAAACTGGGAAAGCACTAGTCACTAATCTACTGGGATTGACAGTTGTTGCTTAAGTTTCTATTATTGGTCGCAAATGTGACAATTGTAAAAATTGAATGGAATATTTAGTGCCCTCAAGGAAGAACAGTTGAATCTGGTCTCCCTGAAACATGTGTGATTTAGCTAGAGAGTCATTTGTAAGGAAAAATATAAACATAACCAACACTTAACTGGCTAGTGAACTTATTGAGCCTACTAATATTATGTAACATGTATTTAATAAGACTCATGAAGCAGACATTGAAGAACCAGAGAACGCTGTACCTTACAGAGTTGAATTAGCTGATGCAGAGAGTCAATTAAGGTAAGATTATTTTCATTCATTTTGGTTACTCTTTTGGGATTTCTTTTTAGCATCCTTCTTCAAACACCAGTCACAAAGGGCAGGGCCATGGTAGAGTGTGTGTCTAACATGGATGAGGCTGTAGGGTTGATTTGATCTACAGATCAGCAAAAAATAATACCAACTAATATATCCATGAAATTATCATCCATCTCTCTAGCTGGATAAATACTAATGTTAAATTTTCCTAAGTCATGTAGAAATTTCTACATATTACTTTTTACATACAAAATAATAATTTCTTTGTCTAATATTTGTATTACTTTATATATTATTGTGAAATTTGTGATTATCATTTGAAGTAATTTTCCATGTCAGATATAGTTTATATCAGCCTTCTTTTCTCTAACGATCCTATTTGACTGTGATTTCTTTGGAACTATAAAATAAGAAGTTACATAATTGATCAGGTTCAGGAGCCCGCTAGCATAATACTGCTCTGAAGGCAAAGCCTAATATGTGATTGGCAAAAGAAGTATAGTAGCTTGCTTTACAATAGTTTTGTGATATTGTGCCATTTCCATATAAACAATGAAATCTATTTTTTTCTTGCCAGTAAAATTCGATATTAACCCCCCCCCCCTTTCTATGAACCGTAGAATTTCTGGTGTCTAATCACAAAAGCTTGATGTGACTCAACAGTGGCATATAGCTTCTGGTAAGCACCTCCTCTGATGGTGCTTCATTTGGATCTGATTCTGCCCTTCCCAATGCATTACAGCAGCTCTGAATCAAAGTGATGCCCGGGAACTCTAGGCAGCTCTTTGTCTGAACATAGGGTCCCAAATGGTGAACAGCAGAGGTGCAGAGGTTTTGACAGGAGACGCTTTCTCATCAGTAGTTGAGAGGCTAATATCTTATTGTGTTTCCTGAAGGAAATGAAAGCCAATTCTGCTTGCTTCTTTAAAAAAAAATCTAGTAATTAATTAAAATCAATTGTGTCCTGTGTATTAATAATTTATTAAGTGTCTGTGTACTCTATATGTTGTCAGATACTTGCGTGTGAAGATGAGAGGATGGCTTGTAAGGAGTTCTCTCCTTCTACCATATAGGTTCTTGGATTGAACTCAGGTTATAAGACCTGGTAACAAGTTTCCTCACACACTGAACCACCATACTGCCCCCAATTTTCTTCTTTCACCAATATTATCCTCTGTCTTCTTTGACTCCCGTGTAATTTGCTAAAAGTGGTGAAGGAAACTATCCGATATGGTTTGGCATTAGTCTTACCGCATTGCTTTGTAGGTACCTACAGAACGATACTACCTCTTTTTCTTTGAATCGTGAATGACATGAGATGACATTTTGGTTAGAAATAATCTGAGTTTTTGATTATAGAGTTTACATAAAAATCTGGGGTTGCACAGTCTGTTGTGAATGTTGCAGTACAGCTGTGTATATAGATAGTAGACATTGTTGGCAACCATAATGCATTATATACTGCCTTTAACTTTCACCTCCGAATGGGGGTGCAGATATGTCCAGGACATGCTGTGATTATAATTTTACCAAATTTCAATGTTCTTGAAAGATGTCAGAATTCAAACATATCAATATATTATTAAGTAGGAAACGTCTATTAGAATTTTGCAGTTTAGTTGCAGTTAATGATGTCATATATTTCTTATAAATAATATAACTTAGCTTATATTGTATAGAATATGTTTACTGAAAATTTAAAGCCAATACTATATTTTAATCTTATGCAACTACAAACCAGAACTTTCAGAGACTATTCCTTCCAACTTGTTATTTGTGCTTCTTCCCAAAATATGAAAGTTCTACATTTCCTGATTATCAGAATTGTTTTCCACGTGAAAATGGCATCCATCAACATCTTGTTTTCAACAAAGGAAAAACAGACCTCTTAAGTCTTTGTTTGAGAACAAATTCTACATACCGTAAGGATAACTTAAAAGGTAATGCTCTCCTTTTTGCTTAATATATCTTAATAATGAATGTGGATAATTTAATAATACCAAAGACGTAGTAGCCCAGGAACATTTTCTTATTTTTCTGGTCATTATAAAACCAGAAAAAAAGTGATACTTGTAAGAAAATTGATTGGGAACATGTAATTCTCTTGTAAATAATCTTTTAATCAATAGATAACAGTGTTGTATTTATAAGCAATTACAATCTATATGGGACTCCATAAAATTTATTATGGGGTAAATGAGCATTTTAAAGCTTACATAGAAGAAATTTACATGATGAAAGTCTGAGTGGGGTTTCATTGCCTTCACATACAATTAAATAGCTCTCCATGGTGCCCATGACCTTGGGAGAGGGTTGAAGGGGAGGGGAGAGGCAGGGAAGGGAGCAGAGAAAAATATAGAGCTCAATAAAAATCAATTAAGAAAAGAAGAAAGCAGGTTGAGGAAGCCATGTGATGCAAGCCAGTAAGCAGTCCCCGCCAAGGCCTCTGCATCAACTCCTGCATCCAGGATTCTGCTGTTTGAGTTCCTGTCCTGACTTCCTTCAGTGATGAACAGTAATGTAGAGGTGTCAGCCAAATAAGCCCCCCCCAAAAAAAAATAGCTTTCCATAAAAACATATGACGTGAAGTTTATGTGAGATAAATCCTTTGCCTAAGAAAATCATTCCATTTTTATTTCTGTGCTATCATTACTTCTAGCTCTCTTGAACTTTGTAGATCTGAACACTGTATAGATATTTTTCTGACTTTCCTGGCCTAAGTTTTAAGATCATTATCTACAGAGGCACATTGAAGTGCCCTGACTTGGTCATCAGATTTAATTTTCATATCTGTCCATCAATCTGTGTCACCTTGAAATGCCATCATCTTTTCCTGACTTCCTTTTATTAATCTATAATTTAGTTACTGGATGATTTTTAAGCTTCTTTTCAGAGACTATATTTTATAAACCCAAGATTTTCAGGAAACCAGAAGGTATATATCTGAAGAACTTGACGGATACCCAAGGGCATTCTTTAAAATAACTGATTTAAATCTGATAATAAGCTGACTGGCCAGCAGAAGGGGAAGAAGACTAGTGGTTTCCTGCCAGTCCTACTTCCCCTGACATTTTTCAACTGCCCTGACCAGTATGAACTACATATACACATTGCAACTTAGTGCTGTGGACCCATATCTGGTTGTTACTGTCTCTAAGATAGAGTCACCTACCAGGTGGGTTTGAGAAAATTGTGAACATAAGTATCTGTGTATTAATTCATAGACATTGAGACATTTTTTTTTGCTTAGAAATGCTTTTGATTTACATCGAAGTTGAGCAGAAAGTGCACAGCATCCCCATACTTCCTTTTCACTCTCATCATCTACACAGCTTCCCCCACTAGCAACATTCCTCATCAAAATGAAGTGGAATATTCCCTTGTATGAGTGAACTTCAAGTTATTTAGTTTTTCCATTAACTATGAATATTCTGTTTCCAGTGCTTGGCAACTATGAATATAGCCTCTACTAGATTCCATGTATGAGTTATCTTACTGTGACTGTGATAAAATACCTTGACTCAACGATGACTGGGAATACAAGGTCTATTTTAGATTACATTACAGAACATGTAGAGTTCACTGTGTCAAAGAAGGCATGGTAGGGGGATCCCTAGCTGTTCATGAAGCAGAATCATCAAATGTCATCTCTCTACAGGTAGCAGAGAGGAAAACCAAAAATGAGGTCAGACAATAAAAGCTCAAGTCCCACCCCTAGTGATGTGGTTCCTCCCCCAACACTCTTCCACAAGTTCTATAACCTTGCAACCAAGCTGGAGAGAAAGTGTGCAAACACATGAGCCTGTGGATGGCAGCTCATATTTAAACCAAAACGTTTCTATCAGAGTAACTGAGAGATTTTGCATTTCCTCATGGAAAGAAAATTCCTCTGGCTACACTAGTCAGTAGCTATTGGTGTTATTTCCAGCTCCCTAGTGAAATCGGATAGTTAATAGTTTTGATACATTTATTTACTATCTGTATATGATTTTGTTTATACATATGTGCACATGTGTACTTGTATGTGTATATGTGTGCTCGCGCATGCGTACGTGCATGTGTGTGTTGCTGGGATTTTAACCTAGATCTTTATATATTCTTCTAGGTAAGCACTCTAATATATCTATCCCCTATATTATTTTAACGAGATATTTGTTCACATTTTGCCCATTTTAGTTTGTTTGGCTATTCTAGAATTTTAGGAGTGCTTTCTTTATTTTTGATAATATTCTTTGTCAGGTATAATGTTTCCCCAAAGGCTTTCTCTCATTTTCTGACTTCTGTTATTTATTTACAGTCTTTATTACGTTATTAGTTACAGAGCATTATAAGAAGGTTTTCACCAGTAGTATTTTTCAGTCTTGCAATACATTATTAAAATTATCTGCATACTTTCCAAGACACAAGGCCATCATTTATTCTAATGAATCTGATATTTTTATATTTTGATCCATCTAAGAGATAAGCATTATTGTTGATCTTTCACTGTTTTCCAGCCTTCCTGACTTTCTTTTAGTAGTATATATCTGTTCTATACATTTATCTCATTTCTCATAATACTAATGATTTTATTAATGACAGCAGTGTGAAGGGGAGTTTTCATTTACTATGTATAATTGCAAAGTTATATAAATATTTGGTAATAACAGGCAACATTTTGGGATTACAGTCTACCATTTATACCACAGAAGTCTTGGTCAAAGTCTCTCATATTTTACATAATCTAGCACCTTGCTCAGCGCTTTTCCACACGGGATTTACTTTAGTCATGCATAGTGTTCAAAGAAGGGAGGGCGTGACTAATGCTGTCCCCTAAGTTTCTCTTCATGGTCTAATTGGTTGAGGTTTGTCTATACACTGACAGTTTTACAGGAGAGTGGTGATAATTCCACTCTTCCTCCCAGTGAAGACTAATGATCTAAATGAGGACATTCGGGGCAGCCATAACGCGGTGATGATTAATATTGTCTTGCTCATTTTGTGTCTTTGTAGAGCAGATGTCACTACTTTGCCCCTCATTGTTTTTTTTTCTTTTTTCTTTTTTTTATTGAAAAAATAATTTTCGCCTCCTCCCAGCCTCCCATTTCCCTCCCCCTCCTCCTACTCCTCTCCCCTTGCCCCCACTCCTCTCCTTCTCCCTCTCCAGTCTGAAGAGCAGTCAGGGTTCCCTGCCCTGTGGAATGTCCACAGTCCTCCCCCCTCCATCCTGGTCTAGGAAGGTGAACATCCAAACTGACTAGGCTCCCACAAAGCCAGAGCCTAGCCAGTTTGGATGTTCACCTTCCTAGCCCCTCATTGTTTTAAATCTACTTGACTCACTTCCTTTTCCACAGATTTGTACTATATAGACCAAATAGGTAAAATATGGAAATATGTAAATAAATTTTGGTAAAATAAGATTCATAGATTAAAAAAATTAACTCTGGACTTTTGTTAACAATTTAGTTTATGTTTTTAATATATTAGGATGTTGTTAAATGTGTTTTCAACAACAGGCTCTTCAAATACAGATTTTGGCAATAGTATGGAGTCTGGTCTTTCTTCTCATGAGCTCAAAAAAGTAGGAGAAACCAGCTCTTTTGAACAAAATGTAACAGAAAAAAATACAGACCCAGAAAACAACCAAAATTCTGGTGATTCCTACATGTCATTTTGGAGCAAGGATTCTAAGCCACCTGTAGATTTACATACATCCTTCATAGAGGGGAATTCATCTCAAGAGACCAGCATATCCTTGGAAGGTAGCAATCTGAAAGAGAAGCCTAACTTTGAAGATTTAAAAACTACAAAGACACCACCGGTAAATTTTATTAATTTACAGTTTATAAGGATAATGTTGAGAAAATGATGTTTTTATATATATACCAGAGTGTTATTTTCTACTGAAGTTAAAATGTGCTGTCTTATACTGTGATATTTAAAGCATGATTTGTATGGAAACAGACCCTAGGGGCTTACATCTGACAAAATCTTATAAGAATATCTTTTTTTTTTTTTTTTGAGACAGGGTTTCTCTGTAGCTTTGGAGCCTGTCCTGGAACTAGATCTTGTATGCCAGGCTGGCCTCAGACTCACAGAGATCCACCTGCCTCTGCCTCCTGAGTGCTGGGTTTAAAGACATGCGCCACCACTGCCTGGCTAGATAAATGTCATTTTAATGAGCATTTTTCTATAACAAACGGTACAGAAATGGAACCAATACTTATTCATAATAAGAAAAATGGTTCTTAAAAAAAAAGAAAAATGTTTCTTTTTCAAACACAATTCTCTTATAGAGTGTAATGCAGCAGTCTAATATATATATATATCTGTATATATATGTATGTGTGTATGTGTGTGTAAACACACATTTGCATTATATATGTATATATACACATATGTACATCAATCCATTTATTATTGGAAATACTATCAGTTAATGTGCATAGAAAAGGACCACTGTCTGTGATGCAGGTAAAGAAAGTCATGATTTCAGGAATATGGCTAAGGAAGAAGTAGTGGAGCAAACAACGTAGCTCATCTTTGCATTCATGCCTCTGTTTAAACTGTTTTGGAATCTCCATTGTAATTAGTAGAGGTCTATTGTAGCTGTAATTATTAGTACTAAATGCCTTGTAAATCAGGTAAATCAACCCTTTTATAAGCCTTAAAATTTAAAATTTCCATTTATGCAACCTAAACAGAAACAATAACCAGAACACATGGGGGAACAAAACTTGAGTTCATGCTAATTCTGTTTGGCATAGACTGGAATTTTCCCGTGTGTGTGTGCACCGTCCTGTCAAAAAGGTAGTGCTTTTAAAATTGGAACTGAGACTTCTTCAAAACCCCAGATTTTTGTACATTTTCTCAGATACTGTGGGAGGGATCTGGTACTAAGAGAATTAACCGCAGGTGCAATAAGATGAAAGAAACTGATCTGCACAGATCTGGACCAGGTCTATAAAATATCTGACATGGGACTGGAACCTTAAAGCTATAATTTTTGCGTAGGTCTGTATGTTCCTATCCAGTTGGGTGTACATTCTTGCCTGCAATTTCCAAACCAGGATATATGTACTGGTGTTGCTCATTCCTAGTAATGCCCTGATGTGTGTGTGGGGTGTAAACTCAAGTCCTTTCCCGAAGGACATTTCCACAAATTACCCAGCCGTTGTTTTGCCACAGAAGGTCTCATTTCAAATGAACTTGTCTTCGTACTGCCCCACTGAAGAAAGCAGTAGATAATGGTGTGGATTTCAGCAAGGAGAAAAAGCAAGAATTCATCTTCCCAATTTCCACAGGTCATTGTGAAGATGTCTGTTCATATAGGCGAGGAGTCTTGCTCTTAGGGAATGCTAGCTGTGTGGGGGGAAAATCTGACCTTATCTGTGCTTCAGAAAGCTCAGTCAAAAGTGGCTCAGGGAGCTGATATGGACTTTGTACTCTGACATGTAATGCATTTGTGAATAAAAAAAATCCAGTTCTCAGAGCAAAATGTCTGGAGCCTTCTGACAGCATCCCTGATACCATAAAAGGTTCGCAGATGGCTGAAATCTTGGATCATTCCATTTTTTCTCTCTTTTCCTCTGCTTTTCAGTCTCCTCTCTTTTCCCAGAAAGAATCTCATATGTAAAGTTGAAAAACTAATTACTACAAAATGTGTACAGATGGTCTCTTACCATGGTTCTGTTTACAAATTATGCCTTTATTATTCCGTTAAAAGCATTACACATTTATTAGAGCCATATTTCAATTGTGAAGTTTAATTTTCATTGTCTTGGAATATTTAGTAAGATCCACGGATGCTTCTAGTTACTGTTGACATCTAGATAAAGTATAATTTTGAGAGCTCAGGTGTATTAAACACATCTTCAGTGTAAAATACTTTTAAGCTCAAGTACAAGTTTTTTGGGGGGTATAAAGCCACTGTGAGTAAAAAAAAAATACATATTCCAAAAACGAAGGAAAGAAAGCAAGAATAAATCAATGAATCATGGACCTGACACTAAAAGTAATGCAGACTCAATAATAAACTAAATTCAATGTATTTAGAAAGAAACAGTGATGATAAGAAAGAAATATTACAACAAGACTAGAAACTGTTATTAGCATAAAAAGATTAGTAAGACACAATTCTGGTTGTACACGCTGGAACAAAAAGTACAAAATGTATATAGTTAATTGAAAGTCAGGTATCATTTTAAACTGCTATTACGTTGGTATATTTTCAAATAATTCAAAACTTTGAAAAGAGACATTGATTATCAATCAATACGACTTATGAAAATTTAGTGTGAATAAATTTAATAATCTAAAGAGACAGATGCCATATGGCGTGATTTACTTGTTTCTTCCAACGTTCCGATGTTGGAAACTTTATCTGCATTGCAACAAGTATTAAAGTCAAGAGGTAGAGTGTACAAGCACTGATCACATCATGTGCGCATTTTCTTAGGATTGCCAGGTGGCTTTTGTTGGGGAAGTAGTTTTGTTATTTGGCAGAGTTGTGATAACAGTAAGTTTGGTCTTCTCTTATTCTTTCCTTCCATCTTTCTCCATGGAATGGTTGACAAAGAAGAATCTTAACAGACATAGACCCTAGTCCTTATACTTTTCAATATTTAAAATGAAAATAAATTCACTTTCTTTAAAAATGTGATAGTTATATTATATAATGAAGACACAATGAACATTTGAACTAATGCTAAATGCATCTGCTTTTCTGCAGTTTTCCAATGAAACAAAGCAAGACTGTAGATCAATTTAATAAATCATTAAGTGATTTATGTTCTATTCCAATCACTCAATCTGTTATGCAAATAAAAAGGAATAAAATTCCTTAATGACTTCATAAGACCAGTGTGCTTTTGATGGAGAAATTAGAAAATCACTGTTTTTCAGAGTATAAACTCAGATATCAGAAAAAAAAAATGGTGAACCAATTATAGTAACTTATTTGTGAAAAGTCAATCAAATGACTTTGGAAAACCCATATACTCAGTTGATATAATAAGCTAAATATACAGATATTTTTATTGATCAATGAAGTGCATTTTCCATTATCCTAATAAAGGGTATTTTGAACAAATACATAGTTTGTGGTAATTGTTACTTGTTTCCTCTTAGGATTCATATTTTTCAAATAAATGATCTCTCTATGTGTGCTGGTTACTCTTATGTCAACTAGACACAAATTAGAGTTATCTGATAGGAGGAAACATCGGATGAGAAAATATCTCCTTAATATCTCACTGTAAGGCACTTTATTAGTGTCTGATGGGGAAGGGTTTGGGGTCCATCCCAAGGCTGAAGGTCCTTTGTTTTATAAGAGAACAGGCCCGGTAAGCCATGAGGAGCAAGCCAGTAAGGAACAACCCTCCATGGCTTCTGCATCAGATTGTGTTCCTTGTGAGTCTAGTGAAGGACATCCCACATCAATTGTACTTCATCTTTGGAACTATTTTTATAATAGTTATAATAGAGACATTAGTTCTGAGGCATATGTAAGGGTTTCCTCATTCTTGCATAATTTACATGAAAATGTACTAAGATACTGATTTTCAACCTGTGTGTTGAGACTCCCAGGGGGTCAAATGACTTTTCCACAGGGATAGAAATCAGATATTTATATTACCATTTATTACAGTAGCAAAATTACAGTTATGAAATAGCAACAAAATTCATTTATGTGTGAAAGTCACCATAACATGAGAAACTATCTCAAAGGATTACAATAATAGGAGTATAGGAAACCATTGGACTAAAGGAAGAAAATGAAAGATTGAGAACAGAAAGAAAAAAAAATGTTTTATTTTGTAATTTTGGATTGATGACCACTTCTAGTTTCTAATTCCAACTATTCATTGCTTGGATCCAGTTGGATCTAAATATTGTATTGTTTTGTTTCTCTATTACACTGTGAAAGTCATTTTAGCTGAACTGGTGTCAAGGTCATAGTAAGTTGCTCAATGAATGAATGCATGACTTTGTTTCCATGAGCTGGAAAGTAAATTGTTAAATGTTCTCTAGCTGTTACAAGACATAGCCCTCAGAAAAAAACCTGTAAATGAACGGTATCAAGGACTTGAGAAGTTCTTTACAGTCGGTAAGAATGAAAGACTCGGCTCCCTTCCTTCACCAAGCTTACGAGGCAGCCATTCCTGTTCCACGATCTCACTCTCAGGTAAATTCTGCTCAGGAATCAGATGACCTTTGAGCTACCCTACTCAGAAAGTAAGGAAGGGACAACAATAATGTAGGAGGGAGATCATGTTAAGAATTTAAGAGCATTGTTTATTTCAATGTCACAAAATAGTAAATCTCTGAAGCACTTCATCACCTAAGCAATATATAATGGCACTTTAAATTTTGCCTTAAAACACAACATAAAAATATCAAAATCTCCTTAATTTCTAAGATTTACTTGTAATTTGTTTTTTTGAAATATTTATATTGTCATTTATTGTTCTAAAACACAAATAACTTAAACTTGCTTTTTGACTGTTTTTCAGTGTACAACTCAGTGATACTGTTTACTTTCATAATGACATATAACATCAGTACCATTTGTCTTTAGAACACGGCTTATCTTATTAGATCAAAATTCTATTCTCATTAAACATAACTCATTAGCCTCTCATTAACCCCCAGCTAATACCATTCTTCAGTCTTCTTGTATTATTTTTTTATTCTGCTTAACTCATTCATATAAGTAGACCAGTATATTTTATTTAGTATAGTGTTCCAAGTTTTATCATGTGGAAAAATTACATTTTATAAAATAAAGTGTAAAAAATATGATGAGACTATGTAAGTCACTATATATCTATTTATCTTTTATTTTATGTATGTCCCATACTTCTCAAACTCTATGGGAAATAGTTGGAAAATCACTGTTAAAATATTGTGTTTATAAAGGAAAGCAACCCTTTCTTTTATGCTGCATTTGTTTAACTCTTGAAACTGTGTTCCTTTATGTGTCTAAAATACCCTACTGGGCTAATAAAGAAGTGAACAGCCAGTAGCTAAGCACGAGAAAGGATAGGTGGGGCTGGGAGGCAAGGAGGATAAATAGGAGGAGAAATCTGGAAAGAGAAGATGAGGGAGTCAAAGGAGGAGGAGAGGATGACATCAGAGGCCAGCCACCCAGTGACCCGGCAAGTTATGGAGTGAGAAGTAAAGAAAGGTATATAGAATAGAGAAAGATAAAAGCGGTTCTTCTCAGGTCATGAGTGTGATGGTTGCAGCACACGAAGAAACGCATTTTACGCTCCTTCTCCCCATCTTCTGGCTTTAACATTCCATCCATGTCTCTTCTGCTACGTTCCCTGAACATTGAAGGTTGTGAACCTTACCTTATTTTCTACTTTGTTTTACGTTATCTTCTTCCTGTTTCAGAAGACAAAGTGTGGATCCCAGACAGCAGCTTAAGCGAGCATGCTGGTGGTGCAGATGCCTTGCAGGATCTGCCGAGTGCTGAAAATCCACTTCCAAATCTGCAACAGCAAAAGACAGGTACAGTCAATGGGAAAGCAGCAGTATCATGTTGCTGGCCTCCTCTGTTTGCTTGTTTGATTCTTGCCCAATTGTTAGTCATCCTAAATGTTTTTTCTTTGCCGTTATACCCACTCCAAAATCTAAAGGCAGAAAATCTAGCCAACAAGTGAACTCATTATTTCTCTCAAAGATAGATTATATTGTTTAGCTATTTTCCACAGTAACATATTATGAATCCTATTGCAAACATCGCTCCGAATATGGTATGTTTTGAGCAACCCTCAAAGAATATCCATACAAGTTCTTTACAGTTTTGCTGCTTTTATGATTCATTTCATATGCTTTACTTGATTCGTTCCGTTAAATAAAAATTCATCCTGACCACATTTTACCCTCTCTTTACTCCTACGATTTCTCTCTTCCCCAACTCTTCCAGATTCATTGCCCTCTGTTTCCCTTCAGCAAAGAATAAGTCTCCAAGAGCCAACAACCAAACAGTCAAAATAAAATACAATTAGACAAGGCAAAAGCCCTCACACCAAAGCTGATAGGACAAAGCAACCCAACAGGAAGACAGGAGTCCCAGGAGCAGACAAAAAAAGTGAAAAACTCACCTGCTCCCACAGTGAGGAGTCCCATAAAACACCAAGGTAACAGACATAACACATGTGCAGAGGACCAGGCAGAAACACTTGCAGGCCAGGTACTTGCCACTTCAGTGTTTGTAAGCCCATATGTATCCTGCTTAATTCATTTAGTGGGACATGTTCTCCTGGTGTCCTCCAGGCCCTCTGATTCCTACTGTCTTTCGACTTTCTACTCCATAGGATTCTTCAAGTTCTGAAGAGAGAGAGACTTGAAAGAGACCTACAGATCTTGTGATTATCTATACCCATTTGTGAAATCACTGTCTTTATTGAGGTTTCATTAGAACCAGGATCAATATTATTTGGACTTATATCTAAGGTTCTATATTTTTACACTGGGCTCTTTCATTTTTAAAGATTATAATTACATTTATTTACTTAGTGTGTTATATATATATACATACATACATATATATATATATATGTTGGCTCTCTATTATAGTTATTTTCCTGATGCATTTACCCCCAGTAGGGCTAGCATATTACTCTTATTCCATCATACATGCTAAAGTATATCTGCTTTATTCTGCATTTCATATGTAGCTGTAATATATATCTAAAAGAAAAAAATCAAATCAGTTCAGTACAATTATGTGTAGCATGTTAGCACCATCTGAGGGTCTGGGAACAGAGGATGCATGGGTTTTGTTCCTGGTCTCAGCAAGATTGCAATTTAGGAGGAATACTTGACAAGAATGCGCATGCCTTCAATCCCATCACTAGGGAGGTAGAGGCAGGTGAATCTCTGTGAGTTTGAGGCCAGGCTGGTCTACAGAGTGAGTTCTAGGACAGTCAGGACTGTACCACAGAGGAACCCTGACTCAAAAACCCCAAAAGAAAGAAAGAAAGAAGGAAGAAAAGAAAAAATATTTTTCAAAACAAAAATTTAATTACATATAAGTTGTTCATATGTGTAAGATTTATATATCTTTTTTGCCCTAAGTCCGTCAGCTAGCATTGATCCTTTCCATTTGAATTTGTGGTGATTTCCTGTCAGATATAAATTTTTTTGTATCAAACTATCGATTTGTGATTAAACGTTTTGGAGCTCTATAGTTCGATGCCTATTGTCACATCAAATTTAAAAGCAGCCTCAAGTATTCTGCTTCCTGCCTCCTGAGCAGGGAGAAGGAACTGTGTTTTAAGTCCTATGTGTTGTTGAAAATACATTTAGACATCTGCTGTGAGAACTCTGTTACTAAGACACAGCTTCCTAAGTAAACAGCCAAAAGCTTAGAGTATCTGGGGCAGCTCCATCGGCGAGAAACTTACTATGAAACACCTTGAATGCAGCGCCTGTCCTAGGCCAGCCACTTCCATGTGATCTCCAGTGGCTGGAGGTGACTAGAAACTAAGCTTAGAGGCATTATAACATGGGAAAACATGTTATAATGCAAATTTGCTGATCTCATCCTTAAAGATGCTGAATTATACAGAATTAAGACACCTGATGATCCACATCTGTCAGTCAATCTCTGTTGTGTTACTGTAGATTCTTCAAAAGTTCTATTTTGAGAAAACTGCTTGATATAAGGATATGCAAATTAAATTATAGTATATTAGTTATAATAGGGGTATGTGTGCACGCATTTTTTTTGGAAGAGATGATAAAATAGGTATGTCAGATATTAGAGATCATATGACATTTTAGTTGAGTCTTTAAATAATAACAGTAACCAGTTAGGGAGTTGTGAAATGAGTTCTGAACAGAGGTAGTGGCCTGAAATAAAATTTGTAAATGCTCTTGGCAGTGAAGCAAGCTACAGAGATTTTTATACTCTCCAGGTAGGTAGGAATTTTAATTGCCAAAATGTCTTGAATATCTGCGAAGGTAAACTGTATAGAATGCATACATGTTTAGAGGCAAGTCTCTTTCTCATTCAGTCTTCCTCAAAACTTCCTGTGACTGTATGCAACACTGTGGGACATCTTCAGCAGGACACTTAAGTCGAGTAGACTTGCGCTAGCTTCATCTATTCATTTGTAAATGCTGCCTACCTTCCCCTAAATGCAGCCCAAATTTAGCCACTTAAACTTTCATTTCTCCTAATGAGTGCTCTGTGGGTGTCTGTTTCTATTGCTTCCACCAAACACCATGACCTAAAAGCAAGTTGGATTGGAAAGGGTTTATTTGGTTTACATTTCCATTTTGCTGCTCTTCACTGAAAGAAGTCAGGACAAAAAGTCAAACAGGACAGGATCCTGGAGGCAGGGAGGGGAGCTGCTCACTGGCTTGCTTACACAGGCTTTCTCTGCCTGCATTCCTGGAGAGCCCACAACCACCCACCCAGGGATGGCACCACTCACAATGGACTGGGCCCTCCCACACTGATCCCTAATTAAAAAAATGCCTTACAGCTGGATCTCATGGAGGCATTTTCTCAACTGAGGCTTCTTCCTCTCTGGTGACATTTGCTTGTGTCAAGCTGGCACACAAAACCAGCCAGTACCATGTTAAATTTTGGCATGTGCTCCCAAATCCCTTTTTACTCTTTGAAAAACTCTCCTAATATGATTAATTTTCTAACAAATTCTGTTTATCATAAATGAGTAGGTTGTTTATGCTTTCAGCCAGGAGATTAGTTTATATATTTTATAACTTATGAGGTTTATATTTTAAAATGAACAAAGGTTGTGACATTTAGTTGGCTAAAAGAATACCGCAGCTACCTGCGGAAGGTAACGCACACACACAAAACCTTCTTCCTGAGGAATAATGCTTACCTGATGTGCTCCCTCTACTCTCTCCCCACTGCATCTCCTCCCAGCCTGGTCTCTCCCTGGCTTTTCTATGTTCTAAGGCAGATCACACGATTATTTTTAGCCTAGGGATGTGTTTCTCTCTTTCATTACAGGATGCTTTGCAAACTCCCACTCCATCCTTAGATCCTCCTGGGGATGCTTTCAATCTGAGATCAGATGCTGCCTCAGTGAGGTCTTTGAGGCCACCCTACATATTGCTGTTCCCCAAGTCTTTCACCTTCTTTCACTCTTTCTTTACCTTCACTCTTCCTTCTCCTGGAAGCCGTGGCATAACACGACTTATATTTCTCATGCATTCTTCCTTGGTCAGAAAGCAAATAGTAGCCTGTTTACTCTTTGGGGATTCCTTAGTGGTGAAGGCTGGTTCTGGTATTTTGGTGCAAATTGACATCAGGGACAATATCTGATTTGTTTTAGAATATCTTGATTTGGATAGAGAATTTGGCAGATTTAAGAGTTAATAAATGATTTTTATCATTGAATTAAGTATTAATTCACTGGTTCTCAGAGTTGGATGGAATTTAAGACATTACACTAATCCTGTATTTTGAGGGTGAGATTTAGGTTATGTGTCAAATCACAAACTGATTTCTGACCCAGTGAGTAACATAATAAGTTTCTTAGCAACCTAGCTAAGTATTTCCCCCATACACCATGATTACATGTTTCTAGAAATCTTAGAAAATATTTCTATTTTTAATAGTAATGCTTTGAAACATGCAGAGTAACAAGTATTATAATTTTTAAAATGTAATTCATGGTTAAAATATTGGGATCTTTGATAAAAAATATTGTTACTATAATGCTACCCAAGGAGGCTGGAGAACAGTTCAGTTGATAAATTACTTTCCAAGCTTGCATTGAGACATGAGTATAATGCTAGAGCTCCTGTAAAAGTCAGGGACAACAGAGTATTCCTATAACCCAGACACTAGAGAAGGAGAGACAAGATGATCCCTGGAGCTAGCGTGGCCAGCCAGTCTAAACTGAATCAGTGTGAGAAATACTGTCTCAAAAATATGAGTGGCTGAAGAAGGAATTCTATATTGACCCCTAGCCCCTGTACACCTGCACAGAAAGAAAAAATGCTACTCCAAAGCATATGCTATAATTGTGTCATCAATTCTATGTTACACGTAGAATAACAGTAGCATTATTTGGTGATTGATTTATGTGTCATAACCTCATCGATAGTTTTGTGTCCAGTACTTCACTATGTTTTGTCTTTTCAATAGTTAGCCTAGTTACAATACTAAGCATAGAGATTATAATTAAACCACTACCACAGAGAATTTTATTATATCTAGAATCTGATGGAAATCAATATTAATCATGTTCTGATACTCCATTGCTGATGATGGCACCAGTTGCTCCAAAAACAGGTAGGGGTGTGTGTGTGTGCTTAGTAGGGGATGATAGCTTCAACTGCCATTTTTCATCAGGGGTATCTTTCATGTTGTGTTGAGTATTAAATTTAACAATGATATTAATATGTTCAGGAATAAAATTCTAAAGTGAATGATAAGTCTACCTCAAGGAAAATAAATAAAAAAATAAAATCTCTGTGTTTTGGCAACTCCAAACTATAGTGGAGCATATTTCCAGCCGGAAAGATGGTCTGTCCTTTTGCTCTGTGGTGAGCATATCTGATCTATCCCCTGGGTACATTTTCTTTCAATTGGGATCAATTAGCTTCAAATTCAGTGGTAACCAGATGCTGCTGAAAGCTCCAGCCAGTGCAGTCCTGAGTTATCTGAAGGGCATCCATGGAATTTGATAGTTTTCTCACTTCACTTTGTTGCTGTTGCTGCTGTTGTCAAAATATCAGACCTTACTAATAACTTCTTCCTTTTATTTGCTATGTTTCAATAAGCGATATAAATTCTTTTACATTTTGCATTTGATGCAGCACCATAACACAGAAGAAAGAACAATATTTCTTGAGAATCTGGGATGTTTGATTTCTGTAAAGAATTACTGCCATAGCTGCTGTTCTGCTGGGAGATGGCATAATTCTGGGTGAGGGGGCAGAGTGCTGCTTTCTGACTATGAATGACTTATTGAATCAGTTCACATTCTATAAAGGGAGACCACTTTTCAATTCTGATCATCAAAATATTCCTTGAGGGTATTTTAACAAGAGTGAACACATAGGCATATGCCTGTTGATTAACTTTCTTTAAAACTTCTTTTTTTGTACTGTCACAAAAGGGTTAGTGACTTAATTTATTCATAATTTCATTTAGCAAAATCATTTTTAAAACTGATTTCTGCAATGTTCTTTAAAGTCAGTACCTTCTGTGTGTTATGGTGAGTTGTTATGAACTATTTACATGCTATAACCAGATGCTCATGAGAGTGTTCACATACTCACTATAGAATAAGAAGAGGAAGAACAAAGGAAGTTTTTACAGGGTGACTTCCCTAGTTACCATTTTGCTTTTTCCTTTTAAATTTCCCTTTGATTCTATATAGTTACATGTCGGTGTATCCTATCTTTCCCCTCTCCAAGGCAGTGCGGTATTTTTCTAGAATTTAAGGAACACGTAAGGGCATCCGGCTGTCGGATGGACTGGAATGGAGAATGAATGCTAGGCTGTTCTGAAGCTGGCTTATCGGATGGGCATTGTGCCTAAACTGCTGTAGATTAGATTCTCTTTTCCTGAGTATAGAAAAATGACTCAGCAGAGTTCTTTATGTTACTGTGAATGCAATTTGGGATTAATTAACTGTGGGTAGCTCAAATAAGTGACAGCCAAAAGCCACCAGAATTATGGGATGCTTTGTGTCCAGGAGAGCAGTCATTTGTATTGTAAGCATACAGTGGGGCTGGTGCATGGTGGATGGTTGTCAGTAAAGTGTGTGCTGTCTAAGCACTGGGTTTTGAGTTTGACCCCTAGATCCTGTGTAAAAATGTCAGGCATGCTGATGTATGCTTTTTCTCCAGGGCAGCGAGCTGGGATGGTTGCTATAAGAACAACAGTGTTACTCACTGTCCAAACACTGAACCCTAGATGGTAAACCTAAGCCAACGAGAGGATTTCACTCAAATGAGTTGGATGGTGTTCCTGATGACGAGAACTCCAGTCTCCATCCAGAAGCACACCCATTTGTGTGCGTGTTCACACATACACATGCATGACTACACTATATTAAACAAACGATACACACGTGGGCTCTTAATGCAGTTGTCTGCTTTCTTTTCTCTTCACAGGCCAGAAATCCCAGAGACCTTCTACGACGAACTTCTCTGTTTCCAGTTCTGCTCGCAAAGCCTCCAGCTCTCATTTGTCCTCTTATCCCCGACCAAGAAGTGTAACTGCTCAACCCCTATCCAGAGCTGCGTCTGAAATTTCAGAAATTGAATACATAGATGTCACTGACCAAAATGAGCCTCTCCTAGATAACGCAGAAGATCAGCAAGCTTTAGACAGTTTGGAGAAAGAGTTAAACACACTGAAAGACCTTGCAGGTAAATGACAACCTTGACTTATGAAATGCTGTAAAAAACTGTTTTCTGCTTCGGTCTTTACATCTTGCTCTACAACAAGCAAATGAAGAACACATTTCCTTCCCATGTGTCTGTTTCCTTAGATATCCCCAATACCACACACAAGTAGTCATAAAATATATGGTTTCTTAACACACAGAAAAGCTAGTCCTTTTCAACCCATGTAATACTCAAAAAATATTTGACATAACAACCCTTATACTTAGGGCCAGCATTTTGTCTCCAAGTATAAAGTCATTTGACCGAGACTGACAACTAGAATTTCATCCCAGGTAGAATTCCTCAAGTTTCTCTCTGACTTCCTTATGTGTGCAGTGGTATATATATAAGTGTATTAACCCACACAAATGAAATGTAATAAAAACTAGTTTAAGAAACAAAATCTTTTTGATCTTTCCTTCAAGTGCAATGAAGGGTTACTGTCTTTATCTTTGTGCAATTGTCTGTACAGCGACCTTGTGGGAAAATTGAGCTGTTGGGATTCTTGAAGCAGTCCTTTCCGCCCTTACTGTTTTCAACAGACTACTGCCTAGTTAGCTAAATAAAACTGCCCTTTATAGACCAGAAACAGTAGAAAATGGACAGTTTCTTCTGATTTTTGTGCATATCTTTTAGCATGCTCACATTACGAGACCTGGATAGAGGTGGGCGGTCCTTGAGCTTCCCACAGGTCAGGGAACCTTGATTGCTCTTTGAGCAGATGAGGGAGGGGGACTTGATTGTGGGAGGGGGAGGGAAATGGGAAGCGGTTGCGGGGAGGAGGCAGAAATCCTTAATAAATAAATAAATTTAAAAAAAAAGAACTGGAAGAGGAAAAACTAGGAAACTGATAGTATTTCTGCTTTAGTTTTTTTATTTTAATTCATCTCTAAAATAAAGATGAAGAATCATTCATTTGTTCACTTTATTAAATCCCATGCTATTCTAGAGTATAGTAAATACATCTCAGTGAGTTATCACTTGTTATCTTGTCAAGATTTCCTTCTAGTTTGCTTCTTGGTCAAGATTCTGCGGATTAAGTTCTCTGTCCTAACCCAAAGGCCTATTATAATGATATTCTTGAAAATATCTGGCTTTGAAATGTCTGTTTTAAAAATATTTCTTTATATATTGTGTGTGTTTGGGTATATGTATGATGAGGAGAGAAGGGGGAGGGGGAGTGTGTCATGACAAGGGTGGAGGTCAGAGGACAGCCTTGCAAGGCCACTTCTCTGGCTACAGCTTTACATGGGTGCCCCAGCTCAGCCTCAGAGCCAGGCTTGCTCAGTAAGAGCTCTACGTGGAGAGGCAGCTTGCTGGCCCACACACTGTGTCTGTTATGACTGACCACTTCAATGTATGTAGCTAATAGATCTGAACTTTCTTTCCTTTGCACAAGAGCAGACACTCAGCATCTTCAGTCCCTGTATTCCCATTGAAGTTTTGGTTGTTTGAGCCTAACAATCTTGCTGTTTTTTCCCCAAAGAGAGGGCTATGTGGCTCTGTTACCTGATGTGGGTCCACTTTAGAAACCCCTGAGAACGTTATACTTGAAACACTGATCAGCTTAGAATAGCAACATGTTGTCTCTTCTTTTAACCCTCCCATGGGGACTTCCTTGGCTCTGGATTCTACATCCTGTCTGTGACAGGATCTGATGCTGTCTTACTTTACAGCCTCATCATTTCTTTCTCACACTTCATTCCTAGAAGAGTATGCTAAACATCCTTTGTTTAACTGTTTTATTCATTTTTTAAATTTTTCATACACTGTATTGTAATCATATTTTCTTTAAGCCCATGGCCTATCTCACCTCATATCCTTGGCCACTCAGTGACAGGACTAGGATGATTCTATTTCACTACTCTTAAAGTGGCAGCCTTTCTTTCTGACTACAGAATAAATTCCTTATTTTCAGAAAGAAAAAATTCTGCTTTTGTATCTTAGAATTGGTTTCTGTTACAGTCTGCCTTCTCCTGCTGGGAACCTATTTCCTTTAGTTGAATCCACTTTTAACAATGTATTTCCAATATGTCCTTCAGTTACTTTATTATCTGGGCTTCTCCCAGTTGCTGTCTTCCAACAGAAAGTCCAAAAATCTGATTATTGTTCAGTTCACAAGGCTGAATGTTTCAGCTGGTCTTCAGAACATGCCAGCATTCGGAAGAAGCCATAGGCTCTAATGCTAGTGAAAAAAGTGGGCTTCCTAGTGAGAATGAGGGCCAACAGGCATAGAATGAGAGCTTTCTTTTTTATATCCTTTATATAGGCAGTCACCAGAAGGTGTGGCCCAGATTCAATTAAGGTCGATATTCCTATCTCAAATGATCCAATCAAGGAAAATCCCCCACAAGTGCACCCAGCTGCTTGAGTTTTAGCTAAATCCAGATGCAGCCAAGTTGAGAGCCAAGACTAGTCAACATGGCTGCTTTGCAAGGTTTTTATTTTCACATGTATTTGGTGTGCTTTTTTTATTACTTTATAAATAATACCATTCAAAATTTCCACCTCCTCCCCTCCTCCCATTTCCCTCCTGCTTTCCCCTCCCCCTCCCCCTCCAGTCCTAAGAGAGGGCAAAGTACCCTGCCCTGTGGGAAGTCCAAGGCCCTCTCCCCTCCAACCAGACCTAGGAAGGTGTGCATCCAAACAGACTAGGATCCCAAAAAGCCAGTACATGCATTAGAATCAAATCCCAGTGCCATTATCATTGGTTTCTCAGTCAACCCCCATTGTCAGCCACATTCAGAGAGTCCAGTTTGATCACATGCTCATTCAGTCCCAGTCTAGCTGGCCTTGGTGAGCTCCCATTAGATCAGTCACACTGTCTCCGTGGGTGGACCAACCCTTCACAGTCCTGACCTCCTTACTCATCTTCTCCCTGCTTCTGCTCTTCAACTGGAACTTGGGAGCTCAGTTCAGTGCTCTGATGTGGGTCTGTCTCTATCTCCGTCCATCACCATATTCAAGATATTCATCAGTATGGCTATGGGACAAGGCAGTTTGGTGTGCTTTTTTTGAAGCTTAAATTCTATCAGGATTTTAAAAACCAGTTTACTAATGATATCGCCTTCACTTTTTCTTTGATATATTTGATAGAATTTCTGAAGTAATTCCAAACTTTTTGAAAATTTGTAAAATAATAGAATAAAAATGGAGCAAACTCAGTTATATGTGTATGTTCTGAGAAAGAGAGTTAGAAGAGAGGAAGAAAGGGAGACAGAGGGAAGGAAGAAAGGTGGGGGAAGGAGAGAACAGAGTGAGAGAATGCATTTTGTGTTTCTGTACTTTTAAGATCCATTTGAAAGTTAGTTACAAACATTGTGACTTTATCAAAAATCATGCCAGTATTATCTTCATAACAAGAAAACCTCTTACACATGTGTGCTGCCGTGCTCAGAGTCAGTCAGTTAACATGATGAAGATACTTCTCTATTCCACAGGACATGCTTACCAGTACTTACTGTCCTGACCCTTTTGTTAGAACTCACTATTATTCTGGAAAAAGATCCAATTGAGCAATAAGTGACCATTTAATTGGCTTTGTTATATTGGATCTTTGAGATTAGTTTTGTTGTTGTAAAAGTAGTTTGTTTTGTTATTTCTTTTGTAGGCAACAGATTTGTGTGGTATATTTTCAAGAACTTAAAGTACGTTTTCTGCCAAAGTAATTTTTTTCTTTTCTAGTTACTTGTTATAGTATTGACAGGTCCTGTCTCCTCCTTCAATTCTCTAGTGTCATGAGTTAGGCATGTAGTGCAATGTGAGGCTTTCATTTAACATTTCAGCTCAAAGGCTGAATGGGGGAGAAGAGAATAGCTCAAACCTAAGAGTTAGACACTGTGGCACAGCCACTTGAGCTAAAGGAACTTGGGTGTAGTATCATTGTATAGTGAAAGACTATTTTTGTGTGTGTGTCTCCTTTCTCATTTTCACAAGTGAGGGTGGTGGTATTTCTTTTTAATATAACCCAAACTTTTAGGAGTTTTGTTTCATAGTAAATCTTATCAAGAGTCCTCAAATATAAATGAGATTAGGTGACTCTGTCTGATTGCTTTGGGATTGTGAGGGAAGAACATAATCTCAAACTTAATTTATCTAAGTGTATCATAATTTGAAAATCACTGAGCTAAATAATTTTATGGAAGTTTCATTCTGTAAATATATTGAGGTCTATCTTTCAGTGGGAACAATGTAATTTAGTTTCGGTGGGGGAAATCTCTTTGCTCCAAAACTGAAAGTTACTATTAACTCTCAAAAGCTAAATATTTTTTAAGTCTAGTGCTAGAATATTGTTTGTTTAGTGTTTATTCCTTCCAACTAGGAAGTTAATTATCTGACACTTTTATAAAAGGGAAAGACTAGTAGCACCCAGTGAGGGTGATGATCTAAATCATCATAATACGTTATGGTAACTTAGATGGCTAATGGGCTGGAATATAGTTCAGTTGGTAGAGTGCTAACATATACAAAGCTCTGGATTCTAACTCTACTACCTCATAAACATTACATAGTGGCTCACATCTGTAACCACAGCATGCAGCTGGTAGAGATAAGAGCTTGTGAAGTCAAGGTGATCCTTTGCTATATAATGAGTTAACCTAGCCTACCTAGACACTAAGTTACATCAATGTAAAAAAGAATGAATTGAGATCTCTCATAGAGATATTTATTTCCATGTTGTATTTCAAGTAAAAGTTTGTATAAAGATGACTTAAGATTTATCTACTCCTCTCCCTCCTTCAAATACAAAAGATCACCTAACACTAAGAAGCCAAAAAAAAAAAAAAAGAAGAGCATTGCAGAACAAACAAGCACATAAATAATAAAGAATCTAAGCTGCAGGCAAATTTACAAACTGCACAACGATCTACTGTTACAAGGGATTACTTCATTTCATTTTGAATTTTGTTAATGGTCAGGCTTATTGGCATATTTCACCAGCAGCACGTATATTTCAAAAATCATTATCATTATGGTAACTTGACACCACGCCTTTGTTTATTTCCTTTTCTCTTTTCCCTCCTTCTTTTTCTTTTCTTTCCTATTGGGGTTAGTTATTGGCCCCAGGGTTTTCCACATGTTAACCAAGTACTGTACCCTTTACCCCGTGCTCTCTGGAATCTCACCACGTGACAAGCATTAAGAAATCTATGGGTGGCAGCAAGTCTGTGCTGACCATCTTTGTGTGCTGCTTGTCATTCATCCTGGGTAAATTCCAGCACCATACGATATTCACATGTTTCTTGAATGTACGTGCTAGTGATATACGGAAACGCATGTTTCTTTTTTTTTTTATTTTTCTTTTTTTTTTTTAATTTATTTATTTAAGGATTTCTGCCTCGTCCCCACAACCGCTTCCCATTTCCCTCCCCCTCCCCCGATCAAGTCCCCCCCCCCCCCTCATCTGCTCAAAGAGCAATCAGGGTTCCCTGACGTGTGGGAAGCCCAAGGACTGCCCACCTCTATCCAGGTCTCCTAAGGTGAGCATTCAAACTGCCTAGGCTCCCACAAAGCCAGTACGTGCAGTAGGATCAAAAACCCACTGCAATTGTTCTTGAATTTTCAGTATTCCTCATTGTCCGCTATGTTCAGCTAGTCCGGATTTATCCCATGTTTTTTCAGACCTAGGCCAGCTGGCCTTGGTGAGATCCCAATAGAACATCCCCATTGTCTTAGTGTGTGGGTGCACCCCTCGTGGTCCTGAGTTCCTTGCTCGTGCTCCGTCTCCTTCTGCATGTTTCAAATCCTACGCATGTTTCAGATCCTTCAGAAAAATCTCAGAGTCTACCCTCAGAAGAGTTACCAGCCTTCACCCGTTATTCTCTGAGTTTCAATCAGATGTCCGAAGACCTCCTGGAGATGCCTTGTGAGGATGCCAACAGTGAAAGAGAGATGAGGTAAGTAATCCTAGACCTTCCTACAGGGAGATGCCACACAATAGCTTAGATGAGCTCAGTTTTCTTTACTCTAGAAGAATATTTGCTCAAATGTGTGAAATTTATAACCGTTTTTTATTTTATTTGTTTGGAACTTGTGCTGACTTAGTATTGTGATTTACTAAAAGACTTATAAAAGTGTTACTTTAATTGAAAGACATTTCTCTGCTATGTAGTGTGGGTCATTAAAAGGGGACAAAGGCAATAACCCTCCCCACCCAGATTATATTGAAAAAAAGTTATCTTGCTTGAATTAATTAGTATAATACATCTCCATAGTTCACATTAATAGAATCTTACCCAATGTAAAGATTAAAGACTAGAATATTGATTGAGAAGTTTTCCCTTTAAAATTGACTCTGGAATTTCAATTTGCATAACTCTATTCCTCATTGCAAATGGGAATCACTTTAAAAAGATATAGAGGTCAACTTGACACATGTTCAACAAAGCAATGAATTTGGCACTGGAAGTTTTGAAGGAGGAACTTTCTTTTAAAATAAGAAAATAAATTCAAAATAAAGATCGTTTAACTATAAGTCCCTAGGATTGGCTTCCAGTCTAATGCTCAACTCTAAGGGAATTAAGAGTGTGTAACTATGTCTTTCTGAAAGAGAAAAGCTTTGCCTGAGCTCCTGAACTTTTTGCATGTCAATATAAATAACACTTTAAAAATGAATAGCATAGAAGTAGTTTTTCCCGTAAAATGTTATTAAAACCCAACTAAATCTATATGTGTTCTCATAATCATTTCACAAAAGAAATTTAATACTAAAAATACAGAGGGATGCATGATATAATGCAGGATGTACAACTAAAAGGATCACACAATAACCACCTGGCAGCCCTTGTAGTCTCGTCCCAGCTTGTTCACAGGTGAATAGGAATTGTTAATTGAGCCTGCTTTGGATTTAATAAAATTGTCTGTAAAGATGTCATGTCTATCAGAAGATGAACATTTTCACACTTGCTGGCATACATGGGCCAGAAATCCTGGTAACTTTGGACCCAATTATTTGAGTAATACAGAGGATTTTGTTCTCACAAGCTATGTTTGTTTCTAAATCACAGACACTCAGGTGTTAGAACTTTGGGCAGTCCACATCTTTCTACAGATAAAATACAAAACAAAACAAATCGAACAAGAACCAAAAACAGGCAAGTAATTAGTGTCATTGAATTTTGGCTTTGGTTGATCTTAGTGACTATCCATATAGTTTTAATTTACTGTACACAAGGGAGTGATTTATCTGAATGTCTATTCATTGGGATTCTTTTAAGCAGCCAGTATCATGATGAATGTTCTTAATGATGACCCTGAGGCTCTGCAGGTTTTAGAAGTTTCTTCTAAATCATGAGGGAAGGGCACTACTGGAGCCCATCAATATCCTCTCCCTTTGCTACAGTTGTAGTTTGGTTTCCTGGAAGTGAGGAGATAATGAGAATTTCTCATTATGAGGAGACTTAGTATATCCTAGGTGCATGGAAACTTACTCCCCCATTCAGCCTGCTTCCAATGGCTTCAGCGTAGGCAGTCTTGATTGTAAGACAAATGGAAGCTGAAACTTGGTGCCATATGCTGTGTACTGATCCTCTCGTGCATTTTCAGCACTTCTGGAAGAAATACCGAAATGCAGTCTTTGCTGTCACTTGGTGATTACAGTACAGATGAGGACGAGGAGGATTTTCTTGACAAGCAACATGTCTCTACACTTCCATGGGTGAAGGATGTATAACAGATCGTTACTTCTCCACTTTGTACCCAGAATAAACCAAACAACTGAGTGACTAACGTGTCCAGGTGTTGAAGATTATTAGTGGCTCAAATATTTTCAAGCTGGAAAACTAATAAGGATTCGCGATGGTAAAAGTGGCAGATCCTTTTCTTCCAAATGCCATATTGTATGTCAAACACTCATCTATATTGCAGACCACGCTGGTAATGGGTAACTTTATGTCAATGAAACTTACCTTAGAACAGAAAACTATTGGGTTTAAGCTAACGAATGTTTCTTATGTAATTATATTTGATATTTACATCAAAAGAGAATATTCTCTATGTCCATGTCAGCATGGCATCATCAACTCACTTAAAATTACAGTGCTTTTTCCTGTGAATTTTTTTTTTTGAATACTGAATAATGGTACCTTCTAAAGTTCCTCTTAATGGAAACTTCTAAAGTTGATGTGAAGGGTAATAATAAGATATAAAATAAAGTGGATATAATATTTGTTTTAGATCTGGTGCATTTTTAAAAAGAGACTTCAAGGCGGACTGAGAAGCCAATGATAATGACACCGGATTTTGATTCTACTGCATGTACTGGCTTTTTGGAAGCCTAGTCTGTGTGGATACTCACCTTCCTAGACCTGGATGGGGGAGGCTTGGAATTCCCACAGGGCAGGGCACCCTGACTTCTCTTAGGACTGGAGAGTGAGGAGGAGGGGGAGTGGGGAGAGAGGGAGGAAAATGGGAGGATGGGAGGAGGTGGAAATTTTTTAATGAATAAATAAAAATAAAATAAAAAGAGAGACCTCAAAGCACCTTAGTCTGGGCTAGTCAATGAGTTGGTAAATTTCATGCATCAGCTTAGCTAGACTTCAGGGCTCAGCCATCAGTACAGAGGTTTCTAGGTGGCAATTTTTGATGAGAATAACAGTTTGTTTTTCACTAAGATATGAGAAAAGCAGATTATTCTGAACAGTGTGAATGGCCGTCAATGGAAGAATGGATAAGGAAAATGTGGTACATTTACACAAAGGAATACTACACAGCAGACAAAATGAATGATATCTTGAAATTTCTAGGCAAATGGCTAGATCTAGAATACACTATATTGAATGAAGTAACCTGACCCAGGAAGATAAATATGGTATGTACTTACTCATAAGTGGTTTTTAGACATAAAGCAAAGAAAAACCAGCCTACAATTCACAATCCCAGAGAACACAGACAACGAAGAGGACCCTAAGAGAGACATACATGGATTTAATCTACATGGGAAGTAGAAAAAGAAAAATCTCCTGAGTAAATTGGGAGCATGAGTAATATGGAACATGGGTAAAGGAAGAAGGGGAAGGGGGAGGAAGGGAGGGGAACAGAGGAAAAATAAATAGCTCAATATAAACAATTGAAATATATTTTATTAATATTAAAGTCACTAAAAAACGAAAGAAAAAGTATCATTGATGTTTGGCTGTGTTTCTACAAATATATCTATTGTTAATTGGTCTTTTTAATGTATTATTGGATTTGACTTGCTTTTGTGAAAATATTTTATTGAGCAATTTTAAGTTCAAGAAAATTGGTTTGTAATTCTTTACTTTGTTGGGACTTTATGTAGTTTAGTGATCATAGTAACTGTGGCCTCAAAAAACCAAATTGGGCAAGATTTCTTCTGTTGATATTTTGAAATAATTTGAGGAATGTCTCTGAAAGTCCGATAGAATTCTGCCCTAAAATCATCTAGCCCTGGAGTTTTCTTCGTTGATGGACTTCCATTATTGCGAGAGATTATTGGTCTTAAATTGCTTATTTAATCTTGATTTAACTTTACTAAGATATATGCATTAAAAAAATTGTTTCTTTTAGATTTTCAGTTTGGTGGAATACAGGTTTTTAGAAAATAACCTTGTGACTCAGTGGATTTCCTTGATGTCTGTAGTTATGTCCCTATTTTATTGATTTTATCAAATAAGGAACTTATTTTATTGATTCTTTTAATTGCATTTTTTATTATTTTATTTTATTTCAACCCTGAGTTTAATTCTTGCCACCAGTTACTCCTTTTAAGTATGAATTATTCTTTTTTTTATAGAACTTTGAGTTGTTATGTTAAGTTAGTAGTAGAAGATCTCTCCAAACATTATAATTTAGGCACTTAGCACTATGAACATGCCTCTTTGAACTGCTCTCATTGTGTCCCTTAAATTTGAGTATGTTGTTTTCATTTTTATTCAATGCGAGAAAGTCTTAATTTCTGCCTTGACCACTTTTTCATTCAGGAATGAGTTGTTCAGTTTCCATGAGTTTGTAACGTTTCTGCTGTTGATGTTGTTGACACTCAGCATTAAATCATAGTGGTCAGATAGAATACACAGTATTGGCTCCAATATTTCTCTCTTTAGTTTTTGTGTGGATGGTCTGCTCTTCAGTGGAAGTGGTTTCTTACAATATCCCACTATCAGTGTAAGATGCTTAATATGTGATTTAAGTTGTAGTAATGCTTATTCTATAACCTCAGGTGACCTTGTGTTAAAAGTACAGAGATGTTAAGCATTGCAATATTGTCTTGTGTTGGGAGCAGTGAGACCCCAGATCCTGAATTTCTTGTAATCCCCTGATCTGAGTGCCTACAGCTGCTCTGAGCATGAGACCTTCAGGAGTTCCTGATGGCAGGAGAGTTGTTTCTGGTCGGTTTGGCTGGGGCATGGCTCTCTCTATATAATATGCCCCTGAGCACAATAAAGGGGGCATTCTTGAAGAATTCAAGGATGACCTCTGTCACTGTCTCCCTGTCTGTGTGTGTCTGTGTATTTTAACCTCCAGTCCCCTTGCCCGAAGCTCATGAACTGGGTGCCAGCGCACAGAGCACAGACACAGGGGCGCGGTGCATGGCAGTCTTGAAAGAATTTTCCTTTGATGAGTATGCTTGTTTGTCCCGGCTGCCCAGCTAGCTTAGCCCTGAAATAACCACACAAAAATTGTATTCATTAAAACACTGCTTGGACCATTAGCTTTAGTTTCTTATTGGCTAATTCTTACATCATAGTTTAACTCATTTCTATTAATCTGTATATTGCCACATGGCAGTGGCTTACCAGGTAAGATTCTTACCAGCGTCTGTCTCAGGCAGATGATCACATGGCTTCTCCCTTACTCTGCTTTCTTCCTCCCAGAATTCAGTTCTGTCTCCCTGGCCTACCTAAGTTTGCCCTATTAATTTGGCCAAGGCAGTTTCTTTATTAACCAATGAAAACAGCACAAAACCAAAAGGACTTCCTACACCATCTTCCTCTCTTATTAGTTTTGGTTTGAAGTCTATTTTGGCAGACATCAAGTTACTACACTGTCTTGCTTTTTGGTTTTGTCTGCTTGGCTTACCTTTTCCCATCATTTTACCTTTAGGTGTTGTCTATCTATCCTTTATGTTAAGATGTAAAGTTTAGATGCAGCAGAAGGATAGATCCTGTTCTCACATTCTTTCTGTTAGTCTATGTCTTTTTATTTAGAAATTTACATTATTTATACAGAGAATCATTCATTAACAGTGTGCATTGACTTCTGTTAATTTTGTTGTTGAGATGTGGGTTTTTTCTTTTTATATGCTGGTCTAAGAGTATTGATTTCTTGTGTTTTCTTGCATATGATTATCTTCTTCTGATTGAAGTTTTTACCTTTAGTGCCTTCTGTGGAGCTGGATTTGTAGATATACTTCTTCAATTTGATTTTTTATCTTGGAATGTCTTTATTTTTCCACTTACCATGACTACTATATACAGTAATCTGGGCTAACATCTGTGGTTTCTTAGAGTCTATAGAGCATCCATCTAGATCTTCTGGTTTTTAGAATCTCCCTTGAAAGTCAGGTGTTATTCTAATTAAACTGCTTTTATATGTTTCTTTGTCTTTTTTCCCTTGCAGGTTTTAATATTTTTTGTTCTGTAAGTTTAGAGTTTAGAGTACTATGTGCTGAGGGAATATCTTTCCTGATCTATTTTATTGGGGATTAATTATGCTTCTTGTGCCTTGATAAACATCTCACTTATTAGGTTAGGAAAAATTTCTACTTTTTTTGTTGAAAATATTGTCAGTGCCTTTGATCTGGGTTTATTCCCCTTCTTTTATTCCTCTTATTCATAGATTTTTATCTTTTGTAATGTTACACATTTCCTCTTCCATCTCTTGTATTCTCTTGCTGACACATTCATCTGAGCCTCTTATTTATAATCCTAAAATTTTCATTTTCATATTTCCTTAAGTTTGGGTTTTCTTATTTGATTTTATTTCTACATCACTGTCTTGAATTGTTTTGTTTATTTCCTTCAACTGCTCATTTGTCTTTTCATAGATTTCAAGGGGCTTATTCATTGCTGTTTGAGGATCTCTATCATATTCATAAAGACAACATCATGAAGGCCCTTGTCCTGTGCTTCAAAGATATTGCATTTCTCAGGGTCTACAGTAATAAGATTGATAGGCCTTATAGAAGACATGTTCTTTCTGTCTGTGATTATGTTTTTAATGCTGGACTCTTGACATCTGGGTTTGGGATTATTGTCATCCTTTGTGCTAATATGTGATCTTATCTTTGTTGGATTTATGTATTATTCATTGATTTCTGTTGCCTTCTCTCATTCCTAGGGGAGTGTTTTTGCTGTGTATAGCCCGATTGGGCATTCTTCTGAGTTCATGCCAGGAATGGCTATTGGAGTTTTGATGGAGGAAAGTCGTTGGCTAATAAAGGCACTGCCCTCGCCCATTTTATTGGTTAGAGGATAGGTGGGAGGAGTAACCAGAACAGAACGCTGGGAGGAAGAGGAAGTGAGCTCAGAGACTCCACAGCTCTCTTGGGAGCAGACGCCTGAGAGAGACGCCATGCCCCGCTCCCAGCATGAAGCTCCGACCCAGGATGGACATAGGCTAGAATCTCCCCGGTAAGCGCACCTTGGGGTGCTACATACAGATGATTAGAAATGGGCTAAATTAATATGTGAGAATTAGCCTAGAAGAGAATGGGCCAAGCAGTGATTAAAAGAATACAGTGTCTGTGTAATTATTTTGGGTAAAGCTAGCTGTAGGGGCGGCCGGGTGCTGGGGATGCAGCCCCGCCGTCCCTATTACTACAGAGTTTTCTAGTTAGAATGTGTATTGAGAATTAATGAGGTTTTTTTGTGTGTGTTTGTGTGTTTTGTTTTGTTTGTTTGGTTTTTTGAGATAGGGTTACTCTGTGGCTTTGAAGCCTATCCTGATCTAGCTCTTGTAGACCAGGCTGGCCTTGAACTCACAGAGAACCACCTTCCTCTTCCTCCCAACTGCTGGGACTAAAAGCCTGTGCCACCACCAAGTTGCTGAGAACTAATTTTAAAAATGGGGATTGGCTG